CACTGTTGTATGATAGAGTCATTAGTTTTTTCACAAGCAGGAAACAATGGTAAGTGAGAAAGAGTTTTTTCTGTCTGTGCTGTTCTTTGTTATTTGTGTTGTGGTTATACAGAGAGGTGACATCTTGATTACACATTATCAGCAAGGTGGACCTTGGATGGAGGTTCTGCTGCAATATGATTTGAAGGTTAAATAAGTAAATTGTCCAGAAGTCAAGTTTTTTGTAGCAGTTGGAGTTTTTTGTTGTTTTGTTTTGTTTTGTTTTGGTTTTTGTTTTTGTTTGTTTTTTTTTAACAGTGACTGTCAATTATCTATTTCTGTCAAAAGGAGTCTGACTTCTCATGGCCATGTTACTTAAAAAAGTTTGAACCCAAGTTGATTTCTGCAACCACTTCAAAAGGGTTGAACTAATGCGCTTGAATTATATATTTGTTTTAAACAGTGACTAGTCAAGGACTACAGAATATTGCTAATTTGTCATTGCTGGTAAGTTTGGAATATGATTACCAGTGACCTACAACTACTACCACATCTTATGAAATACACAAGCAAACAATTGTCCCCACTGATGATTTTTTTTAAACTCAACTTAATTTTAAACTTCAATGCTGAAAAAATCTAACACTGATATTGACCATCAGAGCATTTGTTTTACTATTTCAGGTAATCCAATGCAAAAATTTTATTATTACTGCACACATTTTGCTGCACTATGTACAAGCTATCGCCAATAGCTTGTGCCAAGTTTTATTCAGATGTATACCCTAAAACCATCATTTTGTCTAATTCTTTTAGAAAGAGTTGGATCTATCAAAGAATGCTGTGGTCAACGATGAGTTGCTGTTTAGCATTGGAAGAAGTTGCATTCATTTGAAGTAAGTGTATTTGTTTTCTTCAGTGTTAAAAGTATGCATAAATGTATGGTAACTGTTAGTATGTGTAATTACCCAGTAGCAATGAGCTGTAGTACTCTGATGGGGTGTTAATACCTTATTTCGGCACAAACAAAGTGCGTTTCTATCGAATATCGCCGGAACAAGCATACTCATCACAACAGCCAATCACAACAAAGGTGATATTACAAGGAGCCAATGAGAGCTCGAAGTAAAAACAAGTGAACCTTCTGGAAAACGCGTGTGACCAAATGGGACTAAGTTTTGCATGTGATTGGTCGAATGGATGGCACGAGTTAACTAGCCAATTAAAGAGCTTGTTAAAGCAAAACCAACGTAATCCCATATTAAAATCAGCACTTGTTAAAATCTAGTTTCTTCAGTTCTCCTCTAGTTACCCGTATCAAATAGTTAAAAATATTTAAAAGTCGGTTACCTAGCAGCCGTTATGATTCTTTTTATAGGTTTCTCAACTTGGACTCCTGTGAAGGAGAAATAACGGATGCAGGATTACAGTGCTTGATCTCTTGTTATCAGTTATTTTCTCTTGTCATCAGCTACTTAACAAGGGTAAGGTCCCTGTAACACAAGCTGTCTAATTTGGAAGAGAAAAAGTTTACCATTGATGGGTATTATAAGCCTTTGCCTCAACTTTAGAGGAAGAACCAGTTTTCCTTGTTTTGTTGAGTAATATGTGATTCAGGTTGATTCCGACTTTTGTTTCACTCAAAGTTATGATATGTGACAATTCAAACCTGCGCTAAGTTTTTATGAAGTTTCGCCTTATGGTACTGTGTATCCTCGCACACTAAGTATTTGTACAATTTCCTTCTTGCCTGAAACTGTTAAACAAACTTCAGCAGTACAACTTTAAATTTTAACTGATTCGTTAATTTTCCTTACCAGATTACAGACGAGAGTGTAATACACTTGTCCTCTAACGGAACCTTGGAGAGGCTGGTGGCCAGGGCGTGCCCAGGACTCACGGACAAATGTAAAGAATGAAGGCCTTGAGAACGAGTTTTCCCAAAAGAAAAAGTTTAGGTTATATTTAGAAAACCAGAAAAAACGATTCCACAAGGCTTGAAAACGAAAGTCTGACTAACTGATGGCGCCTCGAGCACCACCTACAGTGTGGCTACATAAAACTGTTTGGAGTAGGGTTTTGTCTTTTTTGAGGCTTCTGTATATCAAAGATCATCTGAAGCTTTCACTACGAAACGTTTCCAAATTAACCTCCATATATTTTGTCCACTTACCAACATTTAACATGCGTCGTTGTATTCCGTAAGTTTGGTTTCTATTTGATGATCTTATTGATACAGTAACTTGATTGATACGAAGTCTCTTAGGGCCCCAGGTGACCAATTACAAGTATTTAATAACAAAACGCTGTTATTGGCCAGTTGTGAATGCACGTCCATAAGATAGTGTAGAACTAACAAGAAGCAAAAACTTTGTAGTTGGGGTAAAGCTATTAGTTTAGTGTAAATGTTTTTCAGTCCATATGACTCGTTTTCCTCTGTTTTTGTTTTTGTTGTTGTTTTACAGCTATCGAGAGTCTGTTACAAAGTTGTGGCCAATTGACTATTCTGGACGTTAGTGGCTGTAGTGGAATCACCAACGCCTCTCTTGAGCTGCTGAGTCTGCATTGCATATCAGAGGACCGACCCGTCATCAACTGCACCGTTGGAGGTAAGGACTTGGAAATGAGATTAGGCAATAGCACTGTGGCGTTTTTTTTCAGTTCATAAGAATTATACGTGGCTGTGAGTAATTGTTTTTGTCTTCTGGTGTGTTGGTTTATTTTGGCTCTTGAATTAAAAAGGCAAAGGGAACCTTATTTCTTTGAGCTAGAATCGAACCTGAATATTTCACGTACACTTAAGTGGAACTCTCAAGCTGCAATTATGATGTCTCCCAAGGAAACAGCACAAATGTTATTTTTTCTCTTTCGACCTACTCTCTGCAGTGGCACATTCCGAAGCCGGAAGATAGATACTGAACCTGAAAATTGGCGGGAAACCTTAGCGACCGAGTCCTCATTGGTTTTAATTTTGAATCTGATTGGTCGAAAAGGTGGGGCAAGTTTTCTAGACCAACAACAGATTGCAGTCAAAGAAGACCAATGCAGTTCCAGATTAATTTCAGTTCTCAAAGGAAATTGGTTCCCTTCGCTTCGATGTCCCTTCGCACTGAAGACTCACTAAATTTTGTTAATTAAAACCTTTAGGTACAGCCATAGACGAAGAAGCAATAACTCGATTTCGGGAGACATCTTATCGATGCTTTGTGTTTTGCATCGACTATTCCGTTAATCCAAGGATTGATGCTGTTCCGTCCCATGGTTCAGGTATGACCAGCTTTCAGCGCAAGCTTATTTTCTGCGAGCGGACAATAAGTATTATATCATCAAGAGGTTAGCCGCTATCGTCGGCTTGTAATTTTTTTTGGATTAGTGGAAGGTTAGAGAGACCAAGACGATTTTACCAAGGTGAGGACTATAAACTAAAGAGGAAGGGGGGGGTGAGAGGTGGGAAAGAGACCCGCTTTCTTTGCTCAGCGATTAGTTAATGTCTCTCTGCTTTGTTCCAAGGAGCTTTCTTCCGCGAAGAAGACGATGACGAGTTTGATGAATTTGATGATGAGTTCGATGATGAGGATGAAGAAGAACATGAACATTTTCATAACATTGTTGACGATGAAGAGACTTGGATGGCCGAGGACTCGTTATGGTGGCGACCAGGCGATGCCGAAGATTTCCTGGAGGCCGATTATCCTTCGTTACTGGCGGAACAACTGTACAGATCGTAGCATATGGAAATAAAACTGAAGCATTATTATCGAGTGAAAAGGTCTACGAGGTCTTCACTGTTATCTGCCTATTAAATACCTCTTTGGGAGAGGATGATTTCCCAAAATGTCTGAGCGCGTGCGCTGAAAACTGGGTCGAGTACACGTTGTCGTGGCTCATCTTCCTAGGCGAAGCATACGAAACGACGAACTAGTATCTCTCTAAGGCTCAACTGTCAACCTCGTCACACAACCAAAACGCTGTGCTGTGAGAACTTATCGCGGGTTTGGACGTACCCAGTGTGGACTATTGAGTGATGTTATTGCGTGACTCATTTCAGACGACCAAGGGCCTTAGTCACGCACTGCACAATGAATGATATATATGCAGCGAAAAGGACGTTGGTGACCATTACAAGCGATCAAGCATTTGGCGAACGAGTGATTTTGAGATAGCGTTTCTGTATCTGCATGACGCCCATGAACAGGTGTCTTACAGAAAAGAGATGTTTGCGAAACAATATACTTAAAGGATCGACGTCTAAATATTCGGAATAAAATCATTGAAATTGACCGAAAGGGCAAGGAGAACAAACGCTTTTAGGGCTAGACAAAAAATGAATCGTTCCAAAGTTTTTCATCAGCCATTTGTGTCATTTTTCATTTTTCTGAGGCTTCATCTTTAACCCCTAAACCCCTAATAGTGATTTGTAACTATTTTCACCTATCAGTCACACCCCTAAAACAAACATTGAGGTCATGAGAATCAAGGAAATGATCACCAACCAAAGAAGCTCTTGATTGTTAAACAAATTCACTTTGTCAGTACCATAGAAAATGTATAGAGAGTAGTATGGAGAAAGTGTATACTGATGTTAGGGTGTAAAGGACTAATCGTCCTTGAAGGATGGCTAAGGATGAAGAAAATTGGCAGGGGACGCGGACGACTAACTTGGAAAGTTTAGGCTCAGTTGTTCAAAGTTTTTAAGCGCTGACTTAGCCATTAAAATGGACGTTTTTCCTCGCGCAGTCGTGTGTAGTGTATTATGAGCTTTCGAATGGGTTCAAATCACGTCAAAAACGTCCCTTGCTATGAGCAAGACTGTTGTGATTCAAACTTTTCGTTCCAGTAGTTCAAAGAAAATACCTCTTTGGGGAGTTAACCTCCGGTTATTAATTTGAATTATTTGCCTTCTTGATTGTGCTGCATAAAGCTACGAGTGGATTTTATCTTTTTTAATGAAGACTACACTGAGAACAAATAAGAATAATTGTTAAAAATTTGGGTTACTCCAGACTGTGTCAATCTAATTTAACTATAGACTAAATTTTTTCATTGTCATGTTCTAATAGTTATAAAATTCTCTTCAAATATTTTTATCTCTCATCAATCTAAATGTATATTCTCGTATGTTATCTGTCAATGTGACCCTTTCAAATATTTTGTCTCTTTTCCGCCACAGTTTTATTTACAATTCTATTTCATTTTTTCCTATTGAAATCACAAAAATTTGATCAGAGCAAAATATCACATGGGATCCAGTGCTACCACAGGTAAAAGTAAAACGTAAAAGCCGCAGTGTGGCCTGCAAATCCAGATTACTTTGACGCCCATCATAAAATTTTATACAGTTTGTAACTTCCTCGGCAAAGAGCCATCGCCGCTCACAAGATGAGTTGAAAACCTTTCATTGCTATCGTTGGAGCCAGTTGGCGCCTTCTGATTCTCTTTATAGCAGGTGGAAAAAGGACAGCGTATGAACTGAAAACGTTTAGGGCCGACTTGTCTCGGGCCCACATAAGCCAAAGTACAAGCTGCGGCGAATTCCACTGCGCGATATAACGTTTGAAATATCAACCAAGGCCAGGGCTTTGGGGGCTTATCTCTGTCCAAGTACATGTTGTTGACGCCTATGATCGAGTACAGCTGTAGTGCACAGCTGGCAAATCCCAAGAAAACCGTGATGTAAGTGATCTTGACGAGTTTTGATACGTTTGGCCGATAGGCTTCTACCTTCCCATCGGCGCCTGTGCGTACGCTTGTTACACCAAGACGGATCACGTGGGCATGGTTCTTTTGAACGGACTTGACAATCTTCCCACCACTGTATATGAAGCTAATGGACAGACAGAAGTAGAACACGATGTAGAATGATTGGCAAAGTATGCCGAGAGTTTTCCAGTCTGCGAAAAGAGAAACCATTGTCTCAGCGAAGATAGAGAGGCTGAAATGGAACACAATGACGCCAGTGAGGAATTTTCCACTCTGAAGTCTTTCTGGGTAAAGCTTAAGCTTGATCACTTGAAGGAAAGCGTAATGAACCAGTGAAAACGACGCCGTAATGCACGGCAGCGCGATTCCGAACAAAATCCGACTCACTATTATCGGGCACTTCGGAAGTAAGTTGCATTGTTTAGTCTCGTATGGATTGATAAACAAAAATAATCCACGCACTAAGCCGAAGATGACCAGGAGACTTGTGATGACAAGCGACAGTTTCCCTCGTTTTGTTCGCCTTTTAATATTGATAGTTTCAATGAACGCGATAAAAGAGTATATAGCGAACAGAGTGAAAAGGGAACCAAACCCAATCCAATGCAAGTCCCAGGCCCATTTCCAGGTTCGCAGAGCAGGGCCCCAGTCTGGGATGGGCTCGGCAGCAACTGCTCTTTCTCCAGTCTTGACGCCCCGAGGCTCCACATTAGCCATAGGTGATTGTTTCATAGACTTCTCTGGAAGGAATCAATAATACAGCAGTATTAGACAAAGTAACCCACAGGGACAACTAAGAACTGACCAGGTTAAGATCAAAGGAACGCGAATGTGGCTGTAAACTAAGTGGGAGAAGGTGGTGAGGAAATATTCCATAAAAACATATCTTACACCAATAGATATTTAAGGTTTAAAACGAGCTTTAAAATAAAAAACCCACCGATCAAAACTAACCACTTATAATTTCTTACTCAATCCCACCCCACCCTTGCAAATTGTAATAATCCCGGCATCTGAACTGCTTCCACAAATGATAAAATTTAATTGGCTGAATGGGGATCATTCAGACTTTGGCGCCTAAATGAGACGCGGCTGGACCAATGTTCCTGTCCCAGATCATTTCGTTTGCTCTCCATCTTGTTAACCGACCTTTAACTGGTGGCTTTGTGCATGAAAGCAGTTAAAAATTAGGGGTATGTGTTTGAGAGAAGTTATTCCAAAGGGTAAATAGATACACCGAGGTAGATGTTGAAATTGTCTCAACTTTCCCAATATGAATTTTCAAAACTCAGGAAAGCGCCATGAGAAATACTCGAGTCTACGTGTGATTATGTTCATTTAAATGCTGCATTTGTATGGCTCTTAATTTGTTCACTTGATGTTACTTTCAACAATGAGCGTGATATCGAAAAGAAAACGGGTTTTTCTTTGAGCAGGTAGGAGTTAATTTGTATCAAAAACAGCTGGAATTAGTCGCTTACAGCAATACTCGAGGCAGCGTGAATGATAAAATATTGTATCATGTATGTTGCAACACACGCCTGGTGAAGAAATCTCTGGCTGACCGCATAGCGAGTACTTCTGGAAAAAAAATCTTGTACACATGCAAACAATGCTTTAGTAAGCTCGATTTACCTGTTTCTTTAAGTACTTATGCAACATGTAATAATATTGATAGGGGGACTAAAATTAGTTGGAGACAGAAAGTCTTCGAAATTATATGTGCAAGTGTAACTGGAGAGGCTGAATACGAAACTTGTTCTCAACGATACAATATTTTTCTTCTTCAAATTATACATTGTGTAATTTCATAATTTTCATTAAATAGAATATTAGATTTTTGTCCTCGTGACTGAAAAATTTCGAGATTGTTCGACATCTGCATGAGACGGTGAAATGACGCAATCAAATAATACAGTTTTGTCTCGCTCTTTGCCAGCCATTTTTTGTGTAAACGATAAAACATCAGCTTCTCTCGTAAACATAAAGCTCTGGAGTCAGACGGCTCTCGATAAAATTTATTTTCTTATTGATGTGCATTACAGCTTAAACAGTTTCTTTCTCTGCTTGAATAATTACCCATATTATCAAAGTCGGACAAAATACTTAGCCCCGGTTCTTCAATAAAACACAGAAGTACCGGTATAGTTTTCTTACTTGACACATCTGTTAATTTGTGAACTGATTTTCGGGTTCATTTGTAACTATAATCTGTCAGAAAAGACTGTCACTAGGTTATTGGACTAAATGTATTGTTGCTGAAATTCTCAGTGTACCTTGGCTGAGTTGTCATTAGAAGTGAATGACCGATGCATTCAAAGTTTCGCACCGATTGAGAAATGACTCATACTGCGTATTGTTGATTCCCCTTTAGAATTATTATCGGATTTTTTACTTCGTTTCGTTGGCGTTTGGCTGGCTTAACGATTTCTTATTGCAATTTTTGTGAATGACGAATGATATAATCACTTGGCTTCGGACTTTGTTCCAACAATAAATTCTATTTTAAAAACGATGAAACAAAAGTAGAACTGACAAAAATTTCATCCATTTCAATGTTTTTCGACATGAATTTCATCCACATTTTATAAAATGAATTACACTAGATTTACTTAAAAATTGACGTTAAAAAAAACGTACAGTGCAGTGGGAGGCTCCACTGGCAGATCAGGCAGAATAAATCGCTATTTCTTTTTGTAGATGGTTTTTAAGGGATACATCAGAATTAAAAACTAAAAACTAACCTAAGTTTTCATCAATGTTTTATGACAAAAATCTACCTCTTTCTTTTGAACATGGTTAAAACCTTACCGCAACCGTCATTCTGCGTGGGTTAAGTAATTTTACTTTCCATCTCGGCGTATACCTCAATCACTTGTCTTTCCAGTTGAACACACAATATTATTTTTAAACCGTTGAATCGTTTCAGTCAATCGGTTCTCGGCTGATCTAACTTTCCTTGTTACATGATAAATTCCGCACTGTAAACTTTATGAATGCTCCTCGTACAAATTTAGAAGGCACCTTTACAGGCCTTCTCAAGAATGACCACCTAAAGGACCGCTTTTTAGCAGTCTTGTTTCTTAATCAAATTTTGTTTTATGAATTTGTCCTCAGGGATTTTTGTTCTGTGCAGGAATTACGCTTGCTTATAAAAGTAGTCAGTTGTCGAAATTTCGTATTTCCTTCAGTTTGTAGGTGAAATTTAGCCATTTACAAAATATACATGTCTTTTAAAAGCGTGCAATTGAATCGTCTAATCAGTATTCTAAAATTATCTGCTTCATCCATACCTCAAATCGCCTCCAGAGGGTTTATGCAGAAGTGTGATTACAACATTGGGAGATTAAGTTAACCCTTTGAAAAACTTCTGGTTTTTCAGTTAATATACCTTGAACAGAAGGGTTGAAATTAGACAGGAATTCTAAGGTCTGATGATATGACGCACAAGTGGGTCGATTGTTTTGAATATAAAGGAATGACGAAGGCGAGTTGTCATGATTTGTTGCTTAAAATACAGACTGGTCAAATCAAACAGGAAATGTCTCACAAAACACTTGACCCGCCACTTATGACGTTTGAGCCGAGCGGAGCAAGGAATGACTAAGAGACGAAAGTGATTTTCAATGACAAGACCAAATGTTTCGCTGTTTGGGCAATCTTTGGTTTGATAAAGTATCTGAAAGGCTTGCATAATATCAATGTCTCCAATGCACCTGGAATCGCATGAGTTCAAGCCTGACACCAAGTTTACGTTGAATATGCATCCTTCGTTGATCGTTTTAATTCATTGAATCGCCTCAGGGACTAACGTCATTTGAGCTTTACGAGCTTGAAATTGACAATTGACTCTCAAGGTGCACAAAATTTGTCTTCGTAAGATAAGGGAGGAAATCAGGAAAAAGAACAATAGCCGATTCGTAGCTGAATAGATCGCTCAGTTCCACTTACAGGTTTTAAGCTCGATACTCAAAACTGATTACGAGAAAGATGAGCAAAAAATTGTCTATAATTAGAGCTGGTTTGTTTGACCATAAGATTAAGATAAATCCAAACCGTGCTTTGAATTGTACGATGAGCGTGTTTTGTCACTCAAAAGCGTCACCAGCCCCATATTTATCGACCTCTAAAAGAGCAGGACTTGAATTATGATTTAAACACAATAGCTGTATTCTTCTTTACTGTTAAATCATTTTGTTTACCATTTGTATTGATGGAGGCCAACCTGAATATCCAAAAGTCTGTGTGGTGGATCAATGTATACAGTGTAGATTTCGGTGAGAGTCTTGTATTCTATCCGTTCGTTAGGCTTGTGATTAGGTTAAGGTACCACTCAATCTAGCCCAGATGTAAGAGAGTTTTGCTCGAGTAATTTTCAAAGACGTCAATTGTTGTTATCGTCTAGGTGTGCGTCAAAAACGACAACACCCATGTCCTCAGGGCCTGAGAAACTGTACATTTGATATTCCCTTCAAAGTCATGCATTACTTTTCAAGTCATTTCTTTCCCGTCGATTTATAAACTATGAATTAGTGAAGAAAACATTGCAATTTTAGTCGAAACAAAATAAAAAATTTCAAGTTAATTCTCAATATTCTCTGATTAGCATTAATTGATCTGTTTTGTAAAGACTAACTCTTTTTTTAAACTTGTCTGCTCCTTTCTTCTTATTTTTTCTCTTACTTTCTATAATCAATCTATTTTCGACTACAAAGTTAGAAGACATTTTGATTTTTTGTCGCATAAATCGCACCATTTTACCGTGAGGTCTAACGAATTTAAGTGGTTGTATAATTACATTTGAGAGGGTTGAATAAAAATTTGACTGTTTGTTTCCATATTTACGATACTTTTTTTGGAACTGTCCGACACGTTCTCGGAAACAACGATTAAAACAGAGATTTCACTAAGAGCCCGTTACCAGCGGTCTACTACCGCGCATAAGACGTCTTAACGCCGTCATTTTAGCGAGCGAACAGGCTCTTCTGTTTGAGTATACGTGGGCTTCCGCACGAAGTAGCTACGAACTGGCAGTAGGGTCTTTAAAGGAGAGTCTCCCCGCAAGCCATTGATTTTCGAAATGCCTGCGTATATCCGCAAACGCAGTACACGTATTTTGATTCCTTAGGAATTACACGCAAATTACAGAGGTGTAAAAAAAAAGTATTATAAACAACGCTCTGCGATGACCAGAGTACTGAACTTACTAGATTTCAAATATTTAATTTGTGGGAGCATCCCCTCAGCTGCCCCTCTTCCGGGCATAACCGCTTTCGGGAAAAGTTACTGATTTAAGCCCACGTTGAACGCAATCGTCTTCTTTGACACGTTGGGCCTCCTGGTTATACTTACGTAATTCCTATGGTTATTCTTACGTAATTCCTATGATTTTTTTTTTGTTTTTTTGTTTTTTTTTTGTGGCGTATGTCTAGCAGTTTCTGTAGTTCCTACAATGTTTTTAGATAATTTGTTTTTTGCGTCTGTAATTCATGTAGTATCATTATATAATGCGTGCGTGATTTTTTTGATATGTTGATCAGATTTTGCAACTTTTTTGTATAAATTAGGAGTTGCAAATCTGTTACTTCATGTCAATGATGTCTTTAAGTTCATACATAGTCATGACGCACAGGCTTCCTTTTGAGAAGTCGAACCTCAGGATACAGACTTCCTATTCCTGTTCTTTACACTCATAGTTTAAAAAGTCTTCATTGTCTTTAAATCAATCGATGCTCTGTTAGAGCGTCACGGAGTGCTAACTCTTCTTACAACAAGTTGGTGAGCATAACCGCTAATCGTTTCATGCTGTTGATTTAACCTCAAACTAAACCGCGGGAAACTCTGTTTATTCGATTCACTAAAAGAGTTGAGCGGGATTTAGAAATTTTTCAGTCTTTCTCGAATTTATGTTCACATCCACCACAGTTATCGGACTTTTCGCCTTATTCAAAGACTTTAAACATACGGTGTCGTACATTAAGTTTGGTAGGAAGTTGGAACAAGAAGGAGCTTACCTTGATCTATGCGGTTCTTTTAAGGATCCTTTCGGCAAATTGTGTCTCGATTATCCACCTGCTGCTTTGATTGTTTCAGTAGTAAAACTTTAAAATCTAAAGCTTTGATTTGGGCTAAGACTTCCTTGAGGTATGTTTCAGTTTGACTTCCCTGTCACTCTTTATCACGAAGTCTTAAATTCAATTAGCTATGCAAAGCCACCACATTCCTTGTACAATAGACTCGTTGAGGCATCACTGCTTTCAACCAATCAGGCAAATTCTTTTTCGGCGCTTGAGGCATGTGTTTGTTGACATTCTCAAGCTCCGTGACTACTGCTAATTGTTCCCTTTTTAATCTGGGATAAAATAAAAAAAATAAAACAATGATGGGTAGCAATTCCAAATGAGTTTTTCAATGGAATCATTCCACCGTTTTAATTGGAATAAAATATTTTATTGTGCTCTTCTATATTGGTTTCACACTAATTTACACAAGTCACCTACCTCAAAGAGACCGAGTCTAAGGTGAGTTCTTTTTTTCTAAACTACCGACCTTGGATAACAAATCTTTTACCAAAAAAAGGTCACAAATCAGTGAGGTTTTTCTTGTTCTTAAAATTATAGAACAGAATGAGGTATTTCTCTGACACAACGGAATATGGAGATGAGGTCAAGTTATATTGTGTTCAGTTCTAAGCCATTGTATCAGGATACTTGTAAGAAATGTAGAGTGAATTCATGACTTCTGAAAGGGAGGGTAATTAAGTTACGAGGGCGGGTTTGTCTTTACGAGAAAGGCGCCGCATTGTTCTGAATCAATATTTGTCGTTAGTTACTAATTATTCTCCCTTCGTAATGCGGAGTGGATAACGCTTAACAGTGGAGCGTTAGCGATCAGTTTATTTGTTTTAGAATGTCATGCTGAGCATTGCTTTCATGGTTTCGTTTCTCAGAGTCCTTAAACATAAACAATACCGCTGATACTGACAAAAGACAAGAAAACGAGAGAGCTAACTGTATCAAAAATTTATGTTGCGTAGAAATTTTATGTACGATGGAGTGAATAGCTTTCCTTTTGTGTACTAAAGAAGATAGTCTCGGTGTTTTTACATGCAGATGCCTCATGACCATGAACCATTCTGATACGCATCATTGTACAAAGGATTGCTGTGTTGGTTGTAAAGAAAGATGGAAAATCGGTCATATTGGCGGTTTGATCATCACTGCCACGAACATAAACTTGCTTTATGTAAATATATTGCAAAAAGGATTAAAAAAGTGTTGAATATACTTGTCTAGTGAATTAAACAGCCCCTCAATATGATCACATAAACAGGTCTTTTGTCTTTTTTGTTGACGTTTTAAAGGTCTTCATGTTCTTAGCATTTACTGGTTCCTGTGGACACGACGTTTACTACCAAGTATTCTTCTTACTCAGTGTAGTTTCCGTGTTCTGTTATAAAGGCATCTCTCATGAAATTCCTTTGATTACGTGAACTGTAGCACAAAACAACAAAAAACGTAGACCGCTCAAACTAAGAATTTGCGTAGTGAGAGTACAAAATCAACGCAAAAGTAAGGACATATAATGGTTGCCGAAGAAACGCACAGTGAAGCTCACCAACTGCAACATGGAATTGGGAATTTAAGAGCGACAACCACGGATACCTCAGGAACCACAGGAATCCCCAAAACTACACAAACTACAGGAAGCGCGATCAGGAACCGGTTAAAGAAGTTTGCAAGAATAAGGAACGTCATGAAGTACTGAGCAACACGGCTTAGGCGAGAAAGATCATGTTCAGGGACATTCTTTGATTAATTAAGATGATATATTTTTCCCTGACGATTGTCGAAAAATGTGTTAGTTTAAAATTTGCAAGAAGCCTGGCATAGTCTAAGAGGCTTAAGCTCTTAACCCACAGCCCACATGATGCCTGCCCTATTATTTGGACGCCATTTACACTGAATAACAGTATGAAACATGTGAGAGAGCTGAATGAGCCCCTTTATCGAACCTCCATGATAAACTTAACTTAGCTTTTTAACTGAGCTGCAAACGAACTAACTTTAAATCAATTTCTTCTATCAATACTTTCTCTTCTACCTTTCCCTTTCCTTTTTATTATCATTTTGATATCTTTCTGTTATTCACTTTGTGTGCAAGACAAAGTTGTCATTTGCTTTAGTGTCAGCAGCACAGATGATTCCAGTGACCAGCTGACTTTGTAACTACATTTTTAGTCAAATTGCTGGAGCACCAGCGGTCATTCGAGCAGGAAGCCTTCATTTTGTGATATTTATGAAAACAGGTAATTCTGCGCCAGAGAAACTGTTAGCATTGCCTTTCTATCCTCCTGTATTCTCTAAAGTTGGCGACGGGCACGGAGCAACTGTATGGCTTATGACTTATATTTCTCCTTTCCTTGTTTCAACAACAGCACTATCCACCGCGTTTTTAGCCCTGGTCGATAGCCTCAACGGAAGATTACTTGTGACCGTATTCAAGGCTAAATTAGCGGCGTTCAAGGCATTGGTCGCTGAATCAGGCAACTGCATTCGCTTTTGCCTCTCTTCGATGATAGCACTGACCGAGCAAAGGACACTGGAAACAACACATAGTCCCACGGTGATCAATACAATTGTAAAATTAACCGCAAACGTCTTTGCGTGGTTTGTGGATTTAAGCTCACCGTCATTGACAACATAATCTCCAAACCCGATGGTAGACACACTGATGAATGTGAAATAACATCCTTCGATGAACGTCCAGCCATCTGTATGTGACGTCAGAATGGCGCCAAAAAAGATCATTAGTACCATGAGCAGGAAAGTGACAAAGAAGCTTTTGAATTCTGCACTCCCCGATCTTACACTACTGAGGCAAGTTCTCTCCAAGAAGCGGATGAAGACCCGAATGGCCAAGCTCACGTGGTTTCCAACGCTGAGTAACATGATGCCAGCGACTGGTATGGCTATGAGGCTGTAGAAGATACAGAATAACTGGCCTTGCCATGTTTGTGGGGACATGTGACCATAGCCTTAATGAAAGAACCATGAAATTATTATCGTTTTCAATATGGATTATTATTAACAGACAATCCGGCTGAAAAATTATCCTGAGACCAATTTTCAACTCTGTCAATCGATTGCATAACTTTATGTGAGCTCTTTGTCAATCTCTCAGATCACCGAACTGTGTTTGATTATCGCACAACAATTGGCCTACGTGTAGCCGTGCCCTCCCCGCCAAAGGTGGAACGGAAGCGAGGGTTACCTCGCCTCCATTTTACCTTGCGGCGCGAGGGTACGGCTACACGCAGGGTATACAACCATCAATTTAAAAACGTGAACGAACTCCTTGACAGTGGAGCACAAGGTCCTGAAGCCGTTTTTAAAAAGCCTACCAGGGTTTAATCCTTTTGTGTTTGCGTAGATAAAATAATTTTGGTACCGCTCTATCCTAGATTTACATCGAAGATTTAAATAGCTGAGAGCGAGGAAATGCAACCCAGTGGTAATTGGGAGAACTTTGACGCGGTAATTTCAAATTTTTTTTATTTGGCTGTTTCGGAAATTTCCTACATTAAATGACTTAAATTTCCGTTTTTTAACATTTTAATCCTCATTTTTCTCGCCGACAAATAACGCGAGAGGATCGCATTTTTGCATAACACTTTCGTTAGAAGATTTTACAGAAATTGAGGACTACGAATCAATTGAGAAGGCGCCTCATAGAAGGTTTAGTTATGTTGCCAATTTCTTTCATTTCTTATTTATGCGTATTATTTTGAGTCAACAAGGAATCGATTGCCATCCAAATGCTGAGAATTGAATGCACTGAGTCACGAAAAATTGAAGAATAAACTGTTAATCTTACTACAGGTACTAATTTTCTACCTAGCCCTTATAAGGAACGATGACTAATGAGCGCAAAGTTTTGATGGTATTGTTCAGCCCGTTAGGCAGTATTTTAAGAGCTGTTTTGTTAACAAGATTCCTTCATTTGTATTCATATTATTTGAAATGTGAAAACTACAAATTGAGATGAAGCTGGACCAGCCAAGTCTTGTAGATAATCGTTATCGGTTGCATCGCTTGAAAAATCGCTTTCAAATTATGATTTATCTGGTATTATTGATATACGATTATATTCCAGTTCAAACAATATGCACTCACCAATCGTTGTCATAATCGTGAATGCAAAGAACACAGATTTGCCGTAAGTCCAGCGATTTAGCCCTTTGGCGTCTTCCTTCTCGGCCGCCTCTTGTCCGATGGCGGTCTCGAGTTGTCTCAAATCGGTTACACTGATATTGTATTTTTCTGCTAAGCTTTCTTTTAGTTTAGTCGCGTCGGATTTTTCTGGAGTTGGGTCACCTTTAGTTCGCTCTAATTCCATGAAAACTGCAGCTCCAACCAGCAAGACGAGAATACCGATGACTATTTTAATCGAGAGCGATTTTGGCTCAAATCTTATGGGATTGTCGGTCTCATCCATTTCTGTGTTGCGCTCAAAGGCACTAACAGACAATTAAGTTGTTTCGTGGAGTCTCAGTTCAACACGGCAGCTGCCTCAAATTCAGAGATAATTTTGCGTTTAACTGGTAGATTAATGAATGATGCCAAATTATTACTCGGCGTTATTCTTACTTAAGTCAACCAACACCTGTTTATTTACAAATAATCGCGACAGTCAACCAACTATATCACTGTAGCTAATTTAATCAGTTATATGAACGAACCATTCCTTGGCTGATTTCCGCCGAGAGCCTCAAAAGTAGTAGCTGAGCTGATCTGGGGGTTCGCTAAGACTCTTGTAGCTTCTGCTCCCCACAAAGCATTCCCGACTCAGCAAACCACACGGTCTTCATAATTATTTTGGAATTTTGATTTGCATTCTACAGGACACCTGTAGTTTTCCTTTAAGAACAACTTCAGAACTGATTGTTTAATCACTGACTTATCTGCTCTGTAATGAACCTGTTAATGTTCCTCTAATTACAAGATTTTTTTGTCTGTCTGACTCACACTTTCAAAGATACACACAAAGAAAGGAGTCGAGCTCCATTAAACAATGAAAAAAGAAATTCAAAAACCGTGTAGCTGTTCCTGTCGTATGCTTATCTGAATAATCTAAAAAAATTCTAAGAAAGAAAATTCTGCACTTAATAATTAACCACGCTACCGACTGCGGTATTCTTACAACCGCAGACGGTAACGTGGTTAATTATTAAAATGAACTCGGTGTAGATATGAAAATGCATCTCTGCAAGACGAAAGTATCCTGGCTGGGATTCATTGTGTAGGTCGTGGAATTACAATTACAATTACACAACAGTGCTCGAAATGTTGTTTTAAGGCAAGTTCAGCGGACGGCTGTTGGGAAAATGCTCCTGAAACTAACCAATAACGACTTCGATTTCCTATGACGTATAACGTCCGAAATCGGATAGGTCCGACCGAAAACAGACGGAAGCGTCCAAAATTGTAGTACAACATCCGAAATCGGAGGCTAGCCTGATAGCTTTCGAGGTCAGATGAAAACGTCCTAAATCGGACAAAAGCGTCCGAAATTGGACGATAACGTAAAAAACCACGCGATCTCGACCAAAATCGGTCGGAAAAGGACGAAAACGCCTAAAATCGGAAGAAAGCGTCCGAAGTTGCACGAAAGAATCCGAAATTTGTCAAAAAGTCGGACAAAACTCTCCTACTCTTAGCAAGGTTCAGTTATTCAAAGGGCGGATAATGCTATCCTACAGCAGATAAATCGCTATCCAGGGTATAAGTGTCAAGGAAACGTACTGCGCTATCCACTGGATAGAGATTTATCCAGTGGATAGCGTTATCAACCCCTCGAACAACCGGGACCAGAACTCTTTGAACTCAGACGGTGAAATCGGTTAAAATCTGACATATCTGTGCAAAAACAGAGGAGGATGGCTTGTCTGCAATAAAATTTCCATCGACTTTGGCGCAATTTCCTGTTTCTTTCCGTGGCAATAAACTCGGGGTGTGTTTACAGAATGCACTTTATATTTCCAATGAATTTTCTAATTGTCCTTAGATTTTCTCTGTCATTTGTCATTTTGGTTTTGTGAACTGAGCAACTGGCTTTAGTCATCTGAATATAGTTCGTAAAGTGGCATTTCGAAGTTGTAACATCTCTTCTAGAAAACGCACACTTTTTATTAGGTTTATTTTGTACGTAATTGTATCATTTCAGTTCCTTTTTTTTCTTCAGTTGTCATCAAGACTGGATGTTAAAACTGTTCGCGCGTTTAGAGACGATCATCTTTTGGCAGTGTTTCCATTGAAGTCATTATACTCTTGATTTAAGTCGAAACACCATTGACATGATTAAAAACCAACGCAGCTTCTCATGACGGTTTGTACAATTTACATCCTGCGAAGGTACATCAGTTTCAAGATCGGAAATTCTCGACATTTTTAGCCACAGAGGTTGTTGTTGTTTGATGCTGATAAGCATAATATAAATAGTTCATAGTCAGTTTTTGCGAGAATGCAATTCCTTCGATGATATTCTTGTTTCACTGTACATTCATTTTATTTTATTTTATAACATAGCTAGTAAATTTGTCCGATCAAATTCAATTGCGCGAGCGTGCTTCATATTCCTATTGTGCACGCTCATGACGTCAGCAAACAAACATAAACAGCGCGCGCGTTAAATTTAACTATACGCCTCGAGCAACTCTTACGCATCTTTCGTGCCCTCCAAACTTCCCGCGTGCTTCATATCTCGATAAACGCACGCTGACGTATGAACCAATTGTAAAATAACTAATAGTTAAATTTAACGCGCGCGCTGTTTATGTTTGCTGCTCCGCGCGCGCTCCGTTTGAATTCATACTGATCGTAATAATTATCACAATGTTTGTCGCGTAAAACGTTTAATTTAAGACGCTTAAACTAGTTATTCAGTTCAGTTTCAACCAAGCTAACCAGTTATTGTGATATTGCTAACCAGTTATTTGCCACAAGTACGGAGGCAGTCAAGAAGCAAGTTCTCAGTTGATTTCAGGTTATTACGGTTAACTTTCTTTTTGTTTTGAACACTTGTAAGGCCGAGTGCCAACGTGGTTTCTTTGTATTTTAGATCGAATTGTGTTATTAAATTAAATACGGTTCTTCCTGCGTACTGGCTCTTTGGTCTTATTTTTGACAGAACAATGCTGTCTCGTTCCTATGCTAATAATTATAGATAAGTACGCGCGCTAAAATTGGGAATTTCGTTTTTCAAGTAAATATGTGTCTCTTTAAAAAGACGAAAGAGAAATGGTAGAAAATTCACCACGAGCTAAAGAAGGAAAAGGGAAGGGAAGGTCAATAGTGGAGAGAGAAATGGGGGAACCATGAAGAAAAATCTCATAACCAATGTATCGTTATATTCTTTGAACTAACTAATTGCATAACTTTGTAAACTATCCCCAGTGCCCTTCGCTGGTTGGAATTCTGAGCCTGCTCAGATAAGACAAGTAATCAGTAGGAGTTCTGACATGTAAGAGTGCAGACTAATGATGCAATATGGCGGCCACAGTGGATGGAGATGGAAGGTACATGAAGACATTTCTGGTTTGAAATATGTTTATCGAGCGTAATTATCTGTACCTTTTATATGGTTTATATTAACCATAAGTCTATTCCATAAATTTGCAGCTATTCTCTCGAAGAAGAGATTGAATTATTGTCGGCTATTTACATTCACGAGTTAACAGTGGAAAGTGAAAAGGAGAGGTAAGCGCGCAGCGCCTAAACATCTCCTTTATAGATAATTACCGATGGAGAAGGCTGTTTGGGTTAATTATGTCTGTGTATTAGGTTAGAGATTATTTTTAACTCTACATAACAGTCCGATAAGTGTAGGTATAAAGAGGGCATGGTACACGTACATGGTTAACTACATAACAGTCCGATAAGTGTAGGTATAAAGAGGGCATGGTACACGTACATGGTTAACTACATAACAGTCCGATAAGTGTAGGTATAAAGAGGGCATGGTACACGTACATGGTTCTTAATTTTTTTAAATACTGGTAATAGCACTAACCATGGTTTTATTATTGTTTGTTGCTATTTTCCAAAACGGAAAGGCTACCAAGCCTGTTTTGCAATACATAATGCTAAATGTGACTGCCAGTGATTTTCCTTTTAACTTTTTTTCTTCTACTTTTCTTTCACTAAAGGTTTAGTGGCAATTCTGTTATCCACTGAATTTTTCATTTTAAGCACTTTTACTCATGAATACTATCATGATAAGGAGCGTGAAGGAAAGACTGGTTTCTCTACCCTAAAATCCAAGAAATACCAAAATGCTTTTTCTGGATTTTTTCCTTCTTTCAGACCCACAGCTGTTAGTGTTCTGCTTCATCCAAGCACAGGAGATGAGGAGGACAAGCGTTTTGTATGTCTAACATTACTTATTCACCTTCCAAAAAAGGTATGTAACTCTATAGTGTAGGATATTTCTTGGTGACTCAGCCCTCAGCTAAGGTCTAGAGACAGAATGAATTGACTTGTTTCAACAAATAGTTTTTCTTAAAAGGAAAACAGGGACTTACATATGTGATCACTACCATATACCTATTTAACATAAGTTCGAATGAACTTCTTGAATTAGAAAGACTATTACAGGAGAGTTATGGTATGCCCTCCCATTCTCCTGATCTTTTACCCAGATCTTTGTATATTCCACAGTTTGAAACTGCTGTTAAGTTTTTTGCTTCCATCTTATAAGCCTTAAAATTTCCCTCTGTTTTTTCTTGCTTATTTTACTTGTTAAAGTTATAAGTATCATTCTTTGCTACAACTGTTATATCACAAAATCAATTTTATATCAACCTTGCAGTAACATTTATTGTCATATTTAACAGTATCCGTGTGAATTACCTTCCATTCACATCAAGACACCCAGAGGATTATCTGAAGCCCATGTTGACAGGTAGCAAAATTTAACAATTGTTTGATTCTTCAACATTGTAAGAAATCGAGGGCATGCTAATAAGCAATGATCATTAGAAATTCCTTGGATTGGTGATTTAAGAGCATTCAATGACCACTTCCTTTTGGTAACCTGAGAAGCCCTTTTTTTCATTTTTGGAACTCCAAATACACAAATGTTCGAATATTTTTGTAAACTGGGACAACATGTTGACTTTGCATTGATTTCTCAAAGCATGTATAAAGACAGTGTCACCTACTTGAACAAGTGTTCGTCAGAGTCGTTAATCCTTTAACTCCCAGAAGTGATTGACATAAAACTTCTCCCTACAATATCCATACATTCTTTAGCACACAGGTAATGAGGATATTCAAACTTATCAGGTAGAAGCTGTTATCTTGATCTAGCACCAAGTTCTCCTAACTAATTTACAAGGAAATGTGTAGCAGCTATAGGGGAGAATTAGCAATCAGATCTTAGGAGTTAAAGCATTAACTTGAAAGGTCGCATATTAAGTAAGAAGATTCTACACTTCCAGCTTTTAAAATCAAATGATTCTGATGGCCATGTTTTTGTGCATTTTGTAGCATTTTGGTCAACCTTAGAGCACTCGCAGAGGGTTGTCTTGGAAGACCTATGTTGTATGAACTTATTGAGGTCAGTTCATTGAATCGATTGATTGGTTTACACTGTAGGTTAAGTGAAATGAAGTGGTTGATTCTAAATACAATCTTGTTAAAGGAAAAGACTTTTGTGTTTGTGTACTCTATAGCATTAATTACTATTGTCATCACTACTAAGTGGAGAGAAATAGTTTCCTTTGCATGAACTCTTTTGCAGCATGCCAAGGACAGTTTAACTGACAATAACATGCCCAGCTGTGCTTGTGCCATTTGCCTCAGCCATTTTCAGGTGAGTTTAGGAAAATGTTTTTTGAAACCTTAATCAATAGTTAGTTTCAATATGTGATGGTAAAGATTATTCATAAATCAAGTTTTAGATAAAAGAAATACAGCCACCTCTCCAACCCAGCTTGAAAAGATGTCAAAAACATTTCGCAAAGTCCTGGTCATCAAATATAATAGTTTAAGTTTTGCCTAGCAAATACATTCTACCTGGTAAACTTCAGAATTGAAATGGTCAGAATTATATCAAAAGCCACATTCTGCTTGCTCAGCTAACAACATTTATAGCTGAACCATTTATCCATTATCATGTTAGACCACAATATTTAATTGCTAAACCAAAGGTCAAGTAGAGTTTCAGTTAATGCAAGAGTATGAAGTATGTGGGTGAAGTCTCTGTTACTTTCCAACCGTCTGTTACAGTCAGTGTTGAAAAGTCTTCAGTCCACTCTTGTCACTTTTATGGTGACTTTCATGCATAAAGTTTGATCACAGCAACAACACTTTTAACATTTTTTTTTCATTCCTCAATGTATACAGGATACACACAAATTTACAAAGACAGAGTGTTACCATTACTTTCACTGTGGCTGCTTAGCAAGATTCATAGAATTTTCTCTCCAACTAGAAAAGGAAACTGAAGATGACACAAAGGTGAGTTTATCAAATTAGTTTTTTAAATAGTAGTGATCAAGCAGATATTGGAAGGGTTACTAGGTTCCAAACAATTGCACAAGATTTTAATCACAGAAAAGCTTGTGCATGAAGCAGACTTAAAAATTTTCCCTTTAAATGGGTATACTTTATCCCATATTATATCAAAAGCACAGTGATCTTTTCAATCAAAGAAACAGAAATCATTATTCAGTTGGACCACTCATGTCTGATAGCTCTGGGAAAGAGAAACCTCCTTTATGGCAATACTAACTTTGTTTCATTGTGAGACAAATTCCCCCAAACCACAAAAGACACATTTTAAGTCACAAGGGTGGCCTCTATATGAAGTTTCTAGCATAACAGCATGGTGCACTTTTCAGCTGAACCAGTATATATTGTACTGCTGTTGTACTAGTCAGGAAAACAATAAATTGGTAAATGTATTGTCAAATTTGTAGGTAGAGTGTCCTATGTGCCGGATGGCAATTGCTTACAACCTTGAAGAACTCAAGGCTCTGGCTTCTAATGATGTGAATGAGGAGAAGGTTTGTTGACAATAATTGCTTACTTTGTCATATCATTTTCCATCAAACTTTAGTATGTCTTTTGACCAACTTCTATCTTGGGATATGACAGTTCTGTTTGATGTTTATAATTCATGTACAGGACTGCAAACACCTTCGTCTTACTGAGTGATGTTCAATGATAAAATTGAATCCCTCTGACCAGTTCTATCCTTCTTTTCATGTTTCATATGCTAAGGTTGTTACGTTGTGCTTTTTCTAAAGTAATTCTCTTTCAGTCATGGAATGACCAGACTAATTCTTTCTGAGTCAAGGGATAACTAAAGTGATGAATCTCCAAACACGTTTTTGCCCGATACGAAGCCTATTTAAAGTTTATCTCTTGTTTAGTTTGTTTACAAACCCAGTGAAGAAATCAAGAAACTCCAGAGAGAAATGTCGTCGCTGTATGAAAAACAAAAAAGGAAAGGAGGAGTGATTGACTTGGAAAAAGAAAGAAACAGATTTTTGATCGATATAACGTCGGTATGTATTGTAATTGCCACAGCGGACAAGTTGACTTAATTTGCCTCACTCCTTTTCCCCCATCGTTATTATTTTATTGAGAATTCAAAGTAATAGTTTACTTGCTTGAATCGCCGCGGAAAAACGCAAGTGGCGAAGGTGGAGATTTATTTTACTTCGACATCTTATTGGGTTGAGATGGTGGTGGCGCTAGTTTTGTGAACCAATCACAGCGAAGTAAAGTAAAACCGAAGCAATCCAAGGTCACTTTCGATACTAAACTGAAAACTGCTCTAATTGTTATCATTGTTATAAGCGTGAAGATGAAAGCGATCTTCGCAGTAATGAACACTACTTGAGCAGTAGTGAAAATAAGGCCAAAAAAAAAATTCAGGCCTGTACGGGATTTGAAACCATGACCTTTTTATCAGGCCTTATTTTCACTACTGCTCAAGTGGTGTTCATTACTGCGAAGATCGCTTTTATATTCACGTCTTTATCCCCAGTTTAAATATATGACTTTCATATATTCACAATCGTTTATTGTTATGAGCGTCGCCTTTTTCATCAGCGGTGACATTATCAACCTTATTTACTGGGGCTTCAAAGATTTCAATCTTGAATTACATTTTGCTACGTCTTTATTAAAGTATTTTTAACGATTTTCGTTTTGTGCTGAGAGAGTTATGCTTATACCACAAGTGTTACATCTCTCTCCAGTAGATTATTTCTGATCTGCAGCTGTAATGAGGATGAATGATCTCAAAAGAAAAATTGTGCTTAGTGAATATTGGTGGAGCTTGGTGGTTGCATTTGAGGTAGCACGGTTGTTTAGCGACGCTGCTTACTAATCTTTCTTCAGGGTATCATGATCTTCATAGGTGGATTTCTTGAAATTTCTCCAGTTCTTAGAACCTTGTTACTCACGCCTAATCATTTTTTTTGCTCAACAGGTTCGTCAGGAGGAGGAGGCAGTACATGAAAACGAGCCCTCTGCGGGGCCCGAGACAGCAGATATAATAAATAACTCCTCAGCAGAACTCACTCAAAATAATCCTCCCAAGCAGGGAGGCATAGCTGGAGAAACCAGCCAATTAGGTAATGTTGTCTATAAAGACAGATCAGATGGTAAGAAAGAGTTCTTGAAGCACTCAGAAACCACTCGGACTCGTCAGCACTCCGAACACAAAACTAGAAATCGATCGAGCGAAGATAAATCGGACCATTGTGGAAAAAGAATCGACAGAAAACGCCAGTTCACTTATAATAGGTCGAAAACTTCCGAACAGAGGCTAAAGAAGAAAGAACCTGTAAAACCTTCTGAAAATCTGGGGGGAGGCTTCGCGCTTTGGAACGAAGATAAATCAGAGAGTTCTCAAACCCGACTTGAAACGGAGGTGAACACTCCTTCAGATAACCTGGAGAATGCTGTGACGAACGTCAGCAACGGGAGCAGAAATAGTGGCTCGTCACAAAATTTCCACGGAGAAAAGCCAAGATCTGCCAGGCGGGGAAGAGGGAAGTCTAGTGGAGGCAGGTTTTCCACTGCCAGTACCCCCGGAACCACGGAGGGTGGAGGGGCTGCCAATACACATGAGACCTCTTCTGGAGAAGTGGTTGGGAAACTATCCGAAGGGGCTGCGCCATCAGAAAGTGGCAAAGCTAAACCCGAGAAAAAAAGCGTTGACCAGCAACTCGAGGAAAATCGAAGCGACAAACGAAAACAGACAAACGGGAAACACAAAGTTCGCAAATCACCCCCAGGTTTTGAGAATTTTAAGACGATGAAGGAGGATGCGTGCAAACCACAAATAATTATAGACCCCTCCGTGGTTTGAACACCGTTACTCTGCACCTTCCCCAGGGCTTGGCTACCCAGTAGAAGTAGCAGGGCAGATGACAAGTCCGCTAGTCACAAGCTGAACAATGGCAGCTTGCAAAATCAGAATTGTTTTGTTTATTTCCGTTCCAGTTAAAACTTAGTTAGTTTGCGATAAAACCGTAGCATTGAATTGGGTTGAAAATAATTCTTACTGGAATGCTTCACTTTCAAGAAATGCGAAGGAAAACTTGTAGTCTAAAAGCGGTTCGTTCTACTGATTAGATTGGAAATTAATGTCCACTTTAGCCAGAGAAACTTTTGTTGTCTTAATTTTTTTTTCTTTTTAGGTATCGCAGGTAGGGCTGTAAAAGTTTAGGGCGTAGCCCCATGTGCTCGCTGACGCCATCAATAGAAGTAAGCTAGGTATACTGATTAACTCATCAACTCATTAACCGATTTCGTGCGGGGGGGGGGAATTGCGTACTTAATGCAAGACGCGGAGAAAATGGGTAACTGCAGCAAAGAAGTGATGGTAGCCTTCTTTTCGGAGACCTTCTTTTTTTTTTGTTTGTTTGTTTGTTTGTTGTTCTTGTTTTCTTTTTTTTTTCAGGAGAAATAATTTTTTCCACGGTAAAAATAAAACAAACACTAAGAACTAATGAAGGCTTTTCTTATGAGGTATTTTGCTGCGTTACTCTTCAAAGATCACTCTCATATCTTCATCATGCAAGTGCAGAAAACTTCTATATTCAAGATGCCGAGGGCGTTACTTTAACACCATTCGGAAAAAAAACTCTAAAGCGTGTTGGAAAACCTTAATAGCTTGGCTCCCTGATTGTCTTCCGTTGAAATTGGTTTCTGCGTCTGAGTGTCTTCAGACAGAATTCGGTAAAGATAGATAAGCTTCTTGGTACAAGTGTGTTTACACGCGTCTAAGCTACGACAACCAAGTAAGCTACTTAAAAAATGGAGACCTTATGAAAATGTTCACTGCGAATATAATCAGTGTTTAAAGAGTGCAGAGAGCAACAACAGTGAGAATAGGCCAGCGTTTCTATCGATGATGATGCTGGCAGAGTTTAGCAGTGGGCAAGAGGGATGTAGAAAACTGTTCTTCACGGTTCTTGTGTTGAGCGGCTGTACTGGACGATAATTGTTAACCATTTTCTTGCCTGATGCGTATGTGAGGTTGCGTAAATACTGTATCTGCAACGAAGAACATAATTATTACGCCAATTCAATATTTATTTGATAAGCTGTTAGCTCAGACAAATAGTGATTTTATTAACCGAGAAACTGAATCTTTCATTTTATTTGCTTGTGCAAAGCCAGAGCCATCCTAAGTTTTCCAACTTATATGTGTAGACAATGTGGGCTGTGTTCTAAATTCAGTCCTGTTGGATTAGAAGACCTCTCTTTGTTACCTGTTCACGTGAGATCTGCACGAAGTCGTTGAAAAGTGTCCAAGTGACACTCTCGTCACAACCAGGAATTGTTAAGGAACCATGATACCGGAAGAACTTATGAAGTGTGGTCCAAGGCAACATAGGTGCCAGAGCAAACGTAGTAATGTTACTTACTGACGAGTCTGTGAGAGTAACGTAAGTCACGTCAGGCAATTAGAGAAGCATATCCTTGTGAATAAATTAGCGTGAAAGATAAGTAAGTTGTTTGTTCTCCTACTACTTGTTCTCCCTCCCCCACAGCGGGTAAAAGATTGCCTTGGAAATCAAAATTCTAAATGGGAAGAATAATGACAAACTTGATTGAGATTGACTTGACTATCACTGTACAGGGGGGGGCTTACGATAACCAAGATTTCTCTGTCGAAGGGCCCTACACTAGCATTGTACTGGCATTACAGTGCATGCTGGGTTGTTTCGTTGCTTTAAATTATCCATATCTCTATACAAAGAAGGGGCTCAAATGCCTCAGACAACCCCCGCCCTTTGTTAGTCTCCTTAACTTCTTCATGTGGGAGTTCAGAGGTTTCAGACGTTGCTTACGTTGCAGCTTTTACCTGTGGGATCGAACGCTTTTAGTTTACATCACACAGGTGATTGGCTGGTTGGGAAGTCATAAGCAAGTTCTATTCACCTCCAAGTAGCCGATATGAAACAAAGTCACACGTTAAGAGTTGAATTTCCGACCATTTTTCGGTATATTGACCGAAGTTTGATGTAAACAAAAGTAATTGTTCGCCTCGATGTCGGTGAAAGTTGTGGGTAATGACCTCCACCGGTCAGTTTTTCGGTGGACAAAGAAACAAACAAATGTACAAGAGACTGGTTTACGTACTGCTGTTCACGAGTTCACCGAGATACTCATCTAAAAATGAAAATGCTTGATTTTTTCTATCGCCAACCTGGAACAAGACATGATAGAAATAGATCACGTTTTATTGTTATGCATTTAGGTACATTCAAATGAAGTGACAAGTATTTTTGCCATACCTCGATGAACACTCCAAGCACGGCAAGCCCGTCTGATTTGTTTTTTGCATCCTTAAATTCTGAGTACTTGGTGTTGTAACTGACGAAATGCAACTTTTCAAGCAAAACGAAAACTTCAAGTCAATCAATTTTGAAAATAATTTTAGTTATCCAAGCTTTCAAGCGGGGTTACCCAATTTTTTTAATTGCACGTCGGATCAGCTAAGTTAAGCGCTATTGGACTCTGCCCTTACTTGGAAAAGTAAATTTAAAATTTTCTTTGTAGTGAACCTTTCCTTTTTGGTAAATTTATTTTAACGTTTGTTTCAAGGACTTTAAGGAAAGACCAAAGATTAACATTTAACGAGCTGTGGCTTTCTTTAAGTTTGGAAAACTTCCTCTGAAGTCTGGAAATTAAATTTTAAAGGTTTTATCTCGCATCTACTTCCCACCATAGTTGTCTTAAATGTGCCCCAATGGAAGGGCTTTTTGGAACCAATGTTTGAAAGGATCGTGGTGTACATGTAACGAAGTACGTTTAAAATTTCATGCAGAGTCATAAAACAACATGGTACCCAGTGTTCTAGTTGGAGTAGAGCATTTAGTCCTAGGCTCATATATAGTCCATATTTGGATGCCCTGAGAAGAATCGCCAGTGAATTAGACACTAGCCCATAACGACGAGAAGCCAGCTCACCAACCACTCCTAGTCCCTTTCTTTCCGCGCTCACACTCCGTTGAAGTTAATGTGCACATTTGTACAGACGGAGTACGTTCTTTATTTACGTACCTCAGCAGCGAACGCTTTCCCATCCAAAGTGTGTTCTGATCCTATTGAATCATTTGACCCCCAGTGAAAGTGGAACTGAACGGTGGTGAAAACACCTTCCAGTCCTCCGCCACTAACGTTGTAGATATTCGGAGGGACTTCAAATACAACTGTTCCAATTTTACCGTTGTTTGTAGCCGTGAAATTGAGATAGGAGGGTCGATCGTAATTCGTGAGTGTGAAATCGGTCATCTTCTCATACTTAGTGTCAGACATTTTTATGTTGATGGGCGATTGTTTCTTTCCAGATTTGCAGGTACCTGTCCAGTTTTTTGGGCCTGTAACACATCAATTGCGTTGAGACGGCAGAGACAACATTAATACTAAAATAACAATTGTTCTAAACAAAGAATTAAAACAGTAACCACACAGAAAATTACCGTGATTTGCATGTGAGAGTCGAGAGTTCTGATAACGCTTTAGTAGACGAAATGTAGTATAGAAGCAATATAATAATTTACAGAAATTTATGTCGTAAAGTCTAAGAAATTGGGAGTATGTTTAAAATCTCATCATCTTGGTCTACCCCAGTATAAGACCATGAATCTATGAAATACAATAAAAATATTATTAATCATTTTTTAAATTAAATAAAATACAAATTAGATATCGACTTAGTGACGTGGCTGGACGAGTGCCACTTTAATTTGGTGGTGCTTTAAGAATCACAAGCAGCCAAGGTTCTACAAGGCTTCACAACAACACTTCACAACAGATGTTTAGAGTTAAACTTCGAGAACATCATGGAAAATACAAATCAGTTCTGATATTCTCCCATTAGCTCATTCTCATACACTTTCCTTTGAACTAAATTCAACGGCTAATCAAAACAGAAGTTTTTTTTTGTTTACTCACCAGCGGCCGCGAAAACACCCAGAGTTAACCAGCTGACACAAAGGAGAACAAGCAGCAGAAAACTATTCATAGCTAAATTTACCTGAAAAAAAGTCTTTAAAGGAAGAACGATTGATATTAATAACTAAGTTACAGTTTCGTATCTCTTTTGACAAGTATCTTGTTTCAGAACTTTTCTTGGAATATTAAATACCTTTTTATCGATTTTCAAAGAGAATGCTTGGTTCGACGTTAATAGCTCTTGCCTTCACTGGAAAATATATCATTTGAAATAAAAGAGAGCTCCGGCCCAATCATATCCGGTGACTTATAGTCCCCTACTATAAGCAGAGGTTGGAAACTAATTCCTGTAGGTCAACAGATTTTTTTTAAACTGCTCAAGTGATTCGAATCTTAGAACTAAGGTCCGATGTGCATTTTGAGGGGCGAAACGAAAGCACAGTTGTTACTTCTGCTTTCTACCTTTGTGAATGGATTCTCCTGGCACTAGCTTATCTCGTTGCATGACTAATCACTCCACCGATGAGCAAATTTAGATAGCGAGACATGCAGCCATGTGTGTTCCTTAACATTAGGCATCGTCTATGAGCTCATAAACAGCCAATGAAATATCATTTGGTTTCCTCGAAACCTTTACTTTGACTTACTTTTTCAAACAGGGTTAGGAGGCTGTAAAACTTAATAGGTTTGGCTCTGGTGTTTGGCATCAGCCTTGACAGTTAAATAACGGCTTTTACCCTTTTCAGCCAAATGCAGACAGCTTTCTAGAGTTCACTCTAGTTTTGAAATCGAGTAGCAAGGCCGTAAGAGCGATTTCAAGGTTCGGTCCTCGCTTCGACGCGTATAATAATGTCATCTAGCACCCTAAAATCTGCCAGCTACGCAGGCTTATGATTAAATGTCAGTTACCTGTGGAATTACGCACACACTATCGTTGAATTGCTCAAAAATAAGAGGTTTACCTTTAAAATGAACTCTGTTTTGGTGTTCCTTTCCTTGTATGCGAAGTGTTTAAGGTACAAAGAGGAAAGCGATAAATTGATTCATGTAGACGTCTTTTATTTCGGATGGTTCCCACGTCATTTACCTTGTTTAGTCAACCAGTCAATACTTACGAATGTAAATAGCATCGCACCCTGAAGAGTTGTTTTGCCAAACAACCGAAATAATTTGAATGGAATTCAGTGCAGAACATTATATCAGTGTTCTCATTTCAGGACAAATTGGATTTTTCCAAGAATTACGAATCAGCTGTTGAGCGGAGCGCAGCTCTCGAAATGTAGATTTAATGCAATATAAAGTAGTGGATGAGTTCTAGCTCTCATACCTGGCCTCATTTCCTAGTAAATTGGTCAAGACGACATCCATTCGATGATGATTTTGTCTATTCTTTTTAATATTTTTCCTTGATAATGTGTCAAATTTGTGAAGAAGAGGTACATGTTTATCACCTGCGGAAGTTTAACAGCTAAGTACAGTGTCTAAACTCCTACCCTGACTCATGCATGTTTTTTATTGTTTTTGCTCCAACGAGAAACTTCGACACAACCCAAAGCTTCCTAACTTTTCAAGTTTGAACCTTGCAGCCAGGTTCGCACCTATCATCCGGCTGTCTATGCGCGCATGTGCGAGTGAAGTCACACTGGGCTAGTCAAAGCAACCTTTTTTACGCCAACGTTTGACCTCTTACCAACTTATTAAACTTTGGGAAACATGTTACGGAACTCTACCAAGCACGCAGTGCAAGAATCCTCGACTTATTTCTGCTAGTCAGCGACTACAATTAAAGTGTTGTAAACGTTTCTATCGGACAAGTGTTTAATTTGTTGTTAATAATATCGCCCAGACGGTTGTGGTTAACGATTTTTCATAAATATACCTCGGTTTCCGGATTGGCAGTATTTTAAACACGTCGGTCACTAAGATAAATAACTTTTTTCGTCTTGTCTATCAAATCACTGGGACAGAAAAATATTGGTTTCAGAATGAATTTGAATAGGTATTAGTGTCATTACGTTAGTTGACAAGCGGCCTAAAACGGTCTGCAATTAATTTTAATCGTTCACAAAAAGTACCCAGAAAGTTGAAACGTGAGGTATTTGGTTACAGTTAAACTGAACGATGGAACTTTCATTCATTTGATATCTGAATTTTCTCGAGCAATTTGTTCATAGTGAAAGAGCGAGCAAAGTTTTAATTTAAGTTCTACAACAAATATACGCTCCCGGTGAGTCTTTCCAATTCCGTTCAATTTGGACATTTGTACCGTAACCTACGGCCTCGGGCAGCATTTTCAAGACCGAGGTCACAGTTTTTCACCATACGGACCTCCCAGCCGGCAATTAACATATATCTATCGGACAAGTGTTTAATCTGTTGAAAATATAGCGCAGGTTGTGGATAACAAAGGAGTAGTTTAAAGTAGGTAAGATGTTTTTTCGTCTTGTCACGAGCGTGGGACAAAAAAAAATTCTGAGTCCCCACGAGGAAACGAACCTCAGACCTTCGGATTTGCGCTCCGATGCTCTACCTCTGAGACTCCACGGTGAGCGAGGTCTATTACGAAATTCATATGACACGCGTCCTGCATACTGCTAGGATCAGCAATGTCGATAGCGTAATTATTTTTAGATAGAAATAGTAGAGATGGTAAGTTTTTAGCTCGGTAAAGAATTAAGAAAGATGAAGAAACATGGGGACTCAGAATTTTTTTTCTTTGTCCCACGCTCGTGACAAGACGAAAAAACATCTTTCTTAATTCTTTGCGGCTTATTTGAAGGCATGATTTCCGCCAATTTCTCTGGTCCAGTCCTCGATCTTCCTTAAAAAGAGGAGAAGGAGGGAGAGCGGGGATAGGGTCTCTATTCTCACGAACATCCCGGTTTAAAACTTGCCAACAAAAGCCCGATGCAGCTAATCAGTTTACTACTGGTGTGCTTTTACGTATGTGGAATATATAACAGCTCTCATCAGGTGTTGTAAGGAAAAGAATGAGTTGCCTCTAATATCTAGAGATGAAGTAGACCGAAAAAGTACACCAGTTCTTTCAAAGAGAATAATCGAGAGAGCTTGAGAAATTGTGAGGGCATCGCTTACAAAAACGCCTATTTCAGATTTGCTCTGTCCAACGGCACACGTTGACAGCACCCTGTTATGGTTCTCGTAATTTAAATGCGCTAAATATTGTTATCTCACGTTTATATTTTGCAAGGACGGCTCTAAATACAAGTAGTCTCAAAACACACGAAGAGCTATCACTGCTTCTAAAATCTTTTGATTCACCATGATTTCTTTGCCATCACTGACCCACTCTACTCAAGCACCACTTAGATAACACAACGTCAACATCTTGTGCGTGCAACAAAATCTTTACTCAAAGTCTAAATTATCTTCTTACAAGCATTGTGACAGAACTACAACATTAAAAAAGCACGCAAAAAACGTCGCACTAAAACACCAGGTGAAGGAATAAAAAATAGAATCTTTTCATTTGTCCATATTATCCTTGAATGGAAAAATGAACTAAGCGAGTAGATAAGTCTGTATAAATTGGGTCTATCGACGTCATCTCTTTCAAATTAGTTTACAGATATTGGGCAAAGTTAAAAGTTTGAAAGGTACAAATCATCTCTTACCCAACTAATTGCTTTTTCCCAATACCGAGAAAATCACATTACATTAGCAAAAGCACATTAAGTGTACCAACTACTGCCTAAAACAATAGTGATAATAATAAAACTTGCAAAAACAATTTAAAAAAAATCAAAATTACATCAGAGCGACGTGGAAAGTTAACGACCAAACAGGGCGGTCAACAACATCAGTGAGAACAGACCAACGCTTATGTCAATAATGCCTGCACCAGAAATTGTTGTTGGAGCAGCAGTGTCTTCAGTCGTTTCGTTGAACCTATATTTAACTTTGCGGTCGTAGAGAGGCTGAACTGGGCGGTAATTGTTAACCATCGTTGTATTGTCTGTGAACTCGAGCATGCGCAGATATTCCATCTATAAAGAAAAAAATTACCCCAATGGCAATTCAATTTTAACCACCACCAAAGGTCTCCCTTACTTCAACTTCCCCTTTCCCCCACACCCTGTCAAGTGGGAGTATCAAGAAGAGAATCTCACTCCCAATCTCTAAAAACGTAAACAGCTGTGAAAGCTTAATGAAGGTCGAATCATAAAACAGCCCTATACACATATATCATTTACACTTGGCATTGTCTAACATGTGATGACTTTATTTCTCATTAAAAAAGTGCGACTTAAAACCGAAACAAAAAAAGAGATATTGAAAAGAGATATTTCCTTCCAGTTGTTAAGCGTGTTCCTGAACAATATCTCATCAGTTCTTGGGGCATGCGCAGTCAAAAGTATACCATAGAAGAGGGATGGGGGTTACAAACCGAGACATAATTGTAAACAATTTAGAAAATTCTTCATCGAATGTTTACAAATATTTATAGAGTTATAAAACCGTTGTTTCACGTACACTCTTAGCGGTCAAGGAATTACCATCAAATAATATACCTGAGTCTGTGATATTTTGACGCTCTCTTCGAAGACCGTCCAGGTGACACTCTCGAAACACCCGGGAGTGGTTAAGGAGCCACTGTAACGGAAAAACTTTACAAGTGGTGGCAACATCGGTTTCAGCTCGAATGGCTTAATTTTCATGCTCGATTCTGTGAGAATTAACATCATAGCTTGTTAGTCAAGTTGTAAAGTGCGCAAGTGTTGAAGCAGTTTAGATCTCTTCAATTATTGTCTTCTGCGAAGTTAATTATAAGAAATTTGTTGTCCTCTCTCTCTCTCTCTCTCCTCTCTCTCTCTCTCTCTCTCTCTCTCTCTCTCTCTCTCTCTCTCTCTATATATATATATATTCCCTATTACGCCTTCAACTGCTCAAGCAATAGAAAATTACTGAACTCTTTACACCCTGACATCAGAGTGCAATAGGAAAGCAATTACGGGACACTATAATGAACAACAGAACGAGAAATGAATCGACGAATAAACGAATTAATGTGAATAACTAAATATGTCGAACTGTAAATTTAAGGCCTGAATCAATAAATAAATAAATGAATGACTCAGGATATGACTGTTGGAAGTTTTACATTAAGGATGTTGAACATAAGATCAAATCACAAAGCCTGGTTTACTTTTTATGACATTCTTGGCATATTTCAGAAATTCGTATGCTGAGTTATCTTCACTTCCAACCTACAAGAAATAAATAACATAATATCAGAAAAAAAATTTCGAAAGTTACTTAATAGAGAAGGAAAGAGATGTTGGAAGTACCTCAATGAACACACCGAGGACTGCAAGACCGTCTGATTTGACAGCTGCAGTACTTATGTTTGGATATTTGGTGTTGTAGCTGACAAAGTGTATCTGTTCGAGAGAAAAGTGAAAACAAGTTTTTAAATGTCAAAGTTAGAGCTCTAAATTAATCGGCATTCGCAATTTGTGGAGTTTTATTTCTAGTTAAGTATACTAAAACTTGACAACAACAAGAATATTTTTCGCCTTAAATTCTTCCCCTCACTAGAACTCAAGATTCCACTCGCAGTTTTGACATTCCCGGAAAACATGCTGTTGAATTTGTTGATAGAAAGTGTCCTTCTTTTCCAATTTATCATTTAAGCTGCTCACCGAAGGCACAAAGCGCAAATTTTCTGCCATCGAAAGGTAGGAGGGGAGGGGTAAATGTTACGCTTGTTCTACCCACTGTAAATAACCTTGAAATTCTCCCCTTCGATCTCTCGCGCTGAGGAAGAGCGACTGTGTATTGTGTTATCCTGGCTGATTGAATTTTTTTGTCATTTGCCAACCTCAGAGACGAATTGTTGTATGCTTTAAAAGTGCCAACCCTCAGTGTAAGAGAAGAACCCCTACTATGGGTGTGTGAGGAGGGGGGGTTGTTGTGTAGGAAACTGGTTCCCCACTCTAGCCCTCCTTACTCACCACGTCCTCGCTTTGTGAATTGCTCCGTGTAAATAAAGGAAGAGGCTGCATGCAGTTTTTAAACACTAAGTACGTTCTTCATTTACTAACCTCAGCAGGGTATTTTTTTCCGTTCATTGTGTGTTCAGATCCCTGTTTGTCATCTGATCCCCAGTGAAGGTGAGCCTGCACAGTGGTGTAAACTCCTGTCAGTCCCCCACCGCTAACGTTAAAAAATTTCTCAGGAAATCCAACTTGCAGAGTATGGCCGTTGTTTATGAGGGTATAGTTGTTGTCTGTCGGCTTCATGTCGTAGTTGGTGAGCTTAAAAGGGTCCATCTTTGTATATTTTGTTTTAGCCACTTCTATGTTGATAGGAGATTGACTTTTTCCATTTAAGCATAATTCAGGCCAATTTTTAAGGCCTGTAGAAAAACAAGTACGCTACAATGATAAGCTATGAGCAGCGATAATTTTTATTATGCTATGGATAATTCTGGGACAATTAATTAAGTTTATATCAAGAGAATATCATTCTTTTGTTTGAATGTGGATGATTAGAAGCTCGTTTTGTCGATGATCATGAAGTGCCTTCATCTTTAGCCAAAACCAGAAGACGAGTTTGGATTACTGCAAAATTAGTTTTCCGAAATTCCTAGCCACAAAGTCTCACTTGGGTATGCCATGTCCAAAATATAAAGCAAAAGAAAATTTGAACGAAATTATTGGCAGTTATATGTGTGAGCTGGGATGTCTCAGCTTTCTACTTTGCCCCGAAATTTTCGGAAAGTCTGAAGTCATGTGGACAAACAAGAAAATTTGCCCACCAAAGTTTCTTTTCATCTGTAAACTGAGGAGCGCTAACTCTTGGATCCTTCACTTCTATTTTCTTCCAAAGTGTTTTCTACTGCATGAGTAATCTCGGCTCGTGGACAATCGATTGAGTTATATTTAAATCGGTTGAACACTTGGACGACAGTGTAAAATCACTGCTTATTAAGTTTGATTAAATTTTTAATTCCGGATATTGCATTCGAGTGTTCCCATTGTTTCACTCAATTCCGGTTATCAGCCCACATCCTGTGTATGGAGACTAGCACCTAGGTGATTCTCAATTTTAGAGTGAAAACAATTTCATTGAGCTCCCACAGCATTAACGAAAGGTGGAGAATTTAATAAAAACATTATTCCATTCGCACTTGTTGGATACGCGCTCGGTCATTGCCAACTCAGTGCTGAGCGCTTTGTTAGGTATCTACCACCTCACATCCGACGAGCGCTCTTGGAATAATCGCTAAATATTGGCCATATTCTTGTTTCGTAATAGGAAATTTTAACCGATCGTTCCACAAAAAAACCGAAATAAAGGATTACTTAGGCAATAGCGTTAACAAATCTTACCATCTTTGCCATACGTCCATTCTATGAAAAAACGAAAAAAGTATTATAAGAAACAGTTCACAGAGTGTAAGGTACATGTACAATCAACGGGAACTCTGGAGAATTGTCTGCTTAAGGAAGATACAGATGCTGATTTATATCCTTCACTGCGAACCTTGAATTTTTTTAGGGTTTCCGGTTTTGAGAAAACTGAGCTTTGATCTAATTTTGTAATTCAGAGAAGATTACATTTGGACCCTCAAAATCGTATTAAAGGTGTTAATCTCGGAGAATGACCAGATTTTTCATCACCTGCAGCATCTTGATATAGTCTCGGGTAGTAGAACTACTGCACCACAGATTTTAAGAGGTAAACGTCATCTTGTACGTTCAACTCTGTGCGTTTTTTGATATCACGAAGAAAATTCAAATGAATTTTTATTCACTTGGTTTGACATCTTTGTGTAATACATAATTTATTTTGATGTATGCAAATCCCCATCTTTCTCAAGGTGTACATTCGGTAGAGACGCAAAACCGTAAGATTCGCGAGGATTGTAGACCTCAAAAAAATATCAAATCTGCTTTTGACAAATGGTGAAAATAAAGAGAAGAAGAAAAAGGTATATGTATATATGTGTGTGTGTGTGTGTATGTGTGGAAAAATGTATATATGTATATATACAATTAATTAATTAATTAATTTTTAACCTGAAGAAGGCCGAACGGCCGAAACGTCGTGCATTAAACTCGTCCAGAACAGTCAAGAGTTGGCCTCTTCGTTACGTCCTTACAGCACACTTAATTATATATATATATGTATATATACATATTTTATACACACACACATATAAATAAATATATATATATATAAGTGGCGAGCGTCACTGTAAAAATTTTGGAGTCTTACCGGCGCTGAAAACAAGCGGCATCAAGCTGATGCATAGAAACACAGCCAGGAAAAGACGATCCATAATTATTCTTAACCTGAAAAAAAATTCAGAAAAGAAATATCATGAGGGATTGCCAGACATTGTAACTAAAGGAAATTATACACAGTCTTTCAAATAATGTGAGGATAGCTGTAATGCTAAGGTCCAAACCAATATTTGTCCAGACGTGCTTAATTTTCGCTTTGAATAAAATTTTTCGGGTTGAAAACGAACATTACATTAATCAAACCTTTTTTGGTTGAAACAAATTTCAAAATCTAAAGGCAATTGGCGGTTGGCAATAGTGTCCCATTGATAGACGAAACAGTGGCAATCTTGATCGGTTCCACTTTCAATTTATCGCAAGCGCATTTGTGCGCAGTAGTTATTTAATATTTACTTACATCCGGCTAATGTTTTGTTTGTACTTTATCAGCGAGCTGAAATTTGCATAGCCGCCTAAAGAAAAACATCTTATAGGGTGCTTATGATAGCTTAAATTTCCGACTCATCTGAAAGATTTATTTTTATCGTATCGATTGAGCCGGTGATGCGTAAGCGAGACTGCATTTCATTTGAGTATTTTATCCCGTAAACCACCTCGCCCGCCAAAGTGTGTTTTAATCACGTGGTCATGTGTGCAGAACGTGGCACCCGACACGGTTGCGCATGCTCAATATTGTGAGAGATGAAATGATATGCAGAAAGCAAAACACAGGACCTTGGAGCGTTTTCGTTAAGACTGACGAACGAGGAACACGAGAGAAAATACCGAATCGTTTAGGTAATTGTTTCTTTAAGGGATGTATGATGAAAATTTTTACTCCAAGGGGAAGTTTCTCAATGAATGGTCCCATCAAAGTCAAAACGTAAACTAGCAGACATGACGAGAGTTAGTGGAGAATTATATTGGTTTAGGTTGGTACTTGATGTCGGAAAATTTTTTATGACGGCTAAGTAGGAGAGTGGTGATCATATGAAATGGTTTTCGTACATGATTGAGCTACTTTACCTGATCATGGTTACATCTTCTATCACTCACCTTACGTTTCAAGATAAAATAACACCGATTTGGTTGATTTTTAAAAGTTCGCGTAGCGTGTCACGCGCACAGGCAATGTAAACGCGTCAGATTTCTCTGCATTACGAAGATTTTAGCGCGTTGCCACATTCTCGTAATTTTCAGGATAGGGTCTGTCTTAAAATGTCTTCATACATACAACGGAAAATAAATAATTTTCAGATTTTAAAGAGAAGCATAAGATTACCATCAATCGTCAATTTCCCAGGTACAAATATTTTTTAAATTTCATCTAACCATTTACTAGTGTCTTAGAGATCGCCTCGAAATAGATATTAAAAATCTAACGCATTCAATGACGTGTGCTGATTGTGACCACAAATTATATTTAGTCCCCAAATTAAGATTTGAATAGCATCGACCACTTTACCAAACAAAGCCTCTGGAAACGTCATTTAGCTGGTGTGAGTAGAAAAACAACTTACTGAAAAAGCTTAAAGTCAATAAGGGTAGATGTTAAAGATGAACTGTCTTGCTGGCTTTGTATTCCCCATCTACTGTAATCTCCGACCATTTCGCGCCTTATTTTCGTATCATTCACGTTCAGTTTTCCCTCTCTTTCTTAGGAAATGCCGGAAAGTCGATTTTCGAGTACGGTCCCTCTCACAATATGTATTTAGTTCTCAAAATTGTTTTTCTCCTAATACGTAAAATGTTATTTTTCGCCAGGGCCATTATCAACATCCTGTTATTGCAATGTAATGACTGACGTGATTGCTCTGTCAAGAAGATTTGTCAAATATGTGTTGCCTCATCTGATTATCCTTTACTGCATGAAGTAAGAAAAATTTCCAACACAAACTTGCCCTGAGGCTGATTAACCTCGTTCTAGGGAAGTGCTAGAATTGCATTCTTAACCGCAAGGTTCCCGGTGAGGTAGTAGCAGTTATTTTTTAGGTTACTAACGGGTTTATGTTTGATATTTGGGTGAGTTTATAAGCGAGAGTGCATATACAAACAGCTTGATTAATTACCCGCTGCTCATGAATAATTAGAACTTTATAGTCCCGTGAAACAGTGTGATGCAATTGTGAGGGTTTCATTCCTAAGAACAAAACTATTAGACTGTGAATGTAAAGTTACGTAAACGAATGTTCACGAGTTTTGGTGGAAATCATGAAGAACTCACGCGGGTATCATGCGCCAAGCGTTTTAACCTTTCGGGCGTAACGGCAATTCGACCACGCAGTGTATCACGCGGCAACATGAAAACAAAGACGACCATTCTTTGACCTAAAGCCATGGAAGTGTGGGCAATGCTGCTCTAGTTTTATTGAAAAAAAAATGACTATTTCTTTTACTTTTTTTAAGGTTTCAATCCTTGACGAAGCAAGTAAGCGAACATATGCCTTAGACTTTTAAAACCATCAAGTTCACTCGTCAAGTTTCCAACATAATCTATCTAGACAGTGTTGCGTTTCAATTTATCCCAAGGCGTTTAATTGTATTCTCTCTATATCATTAAGACCGCTTTGTAAACCCCTTTTGGTTACATGAGTTTGTTCCAAGTTGTAGCCTACCAAGTGTACATCTACAGTTGCTTCAAGTATTCCTCCAATATTTGAATTGGTAATTTAGTGGTTGATCGTTTGTAGGGAAGTAGTTTGGCATCTATTTCGGATTTGATGATGAAAGGAATTATCTAGTAAAGTACAATGTGACATTGATAAGTTGACATCTGTGGTTTTGTGGTTTGAAGCACACGATATTGACATACATTGAAATAGTTACCACTTACGCGTCTTCATTTACGCATACATTTTTAAAACATAAGGCTCCGAGACTTGGTTAACCTTATAGTTCTTTAGCGAAGTGATGCACTGTACGCACTTAATTCTGAAGGCTCGTGAATTCATGAACGAGCAACAACAAGTTCTTCGCGTAATTACTAAACCTCAATCATCTAATCACAAAGACGTTACACAACAGGTCATTTTAGTCTGTAAAAAAAAAAACTCATTCTGTCCAATTAAAAATAAATGCGTTGGCGCTGTTATGTCTATCGACCCAACTAGAGTCATGTATTTTAAAAAAAAAGCTGTTCAACGAAATCACTCATCTATTTTTAAACGTGCTTAACCGTGCAGAGATATGCTTATCAAAAGTCTGCAACCATAGGTCTTAAGTTTCTCGCAAATCTTTTCTGTTGCTTGTTCTTGAAGTTGTTTAAAACCATCTCATCATCTAGCAGTATAGGACAAAGAATTTACCCTGTCTGCGCTTAAGCCATAATTCTTATCCACACACACACACAAAAGAAAACTCGTTGATCTCGTTAAAAGCCATTTCTCCTACAAATCAGGCGGAATGGCATTCACACAACTGTAATATGTAATAAGGAAGCATTATCGATTTTGAAAAACTAATCTATCAAATAGGAGATTAAAAACCATCTCGTAAATATTAAACAATCCACTCTGTTGCTCTTTGTCTTTTTGAGTGTCGTGAGGACAGAAGCATGCATCTAGTTTGGTAGAAACGAAATTTATCGAACATGTTTTTAATCCATCAAATTCCGACTCGAAACTAGGTGCAATTGGAAGCTACACAAAGGAGAGCGCATCCACTAAATAGCCATCACACCTTGAATTTCCTTATCACGTCCTTGAAATTTTGCCTTTTCAAGCATATCGTGTTGCGCCTCCGATTAACTCCTCTAAAATTTCCTGCGTCTCTTGATAAGCTCTTAAGTTTCCTGTCTGATCAAAAACTACACCTTGAGTTAGAAGTACACAGCTCAACTAAGATTTGTTGAAAACCTTAGGATTTAAGGATTCCTATCGTACTTTTCAGCGACTTTCAGTAATATAACAATCTGTGGTAAAATTGCGACGTAAATATTTGTGGACAGTCAAGAATATGACTAATCTGACCTCGCCTAGATTACTTCTCTAACCGATGAAATGTTCCTATATTTGGTTATCACAATGTCCTATCAAACGATTGCCTGGACATAACGTCGACGTTTTGAAACTGTAAGCGATTTCTAAGACTGGACGAGATGAGGGAAACTAAAGAAAACATTTACCAATGTCACGTCGCAAATTTTAAGCGCAAACGCTTCGAGTTTGCAGATTTGTCTTGGAGGAAAACATGATTTGAAGCGTTTGTACCACACCAACAGTTTAGTTTAAAAGCTTCGTAAAAGCATTCTATTCCTCACTGAAACTATCAACCCGCGACGAGGAGAGCGTGGCATGCATTAGGGTCTACTAAAGTACAAAAAGATAGCTAGCCCAAATAACTCTTTGGTTCACAAAATTTCTACCTAGGCATCTGAGAGAAGCTTAACATTGGTTATAATTTTAAGCGCGTAGCGCGCTCGTGGTTGCGAACAAAATAGGTGCAAAACGTCAAGCGCGTCCTATCTCTAATGACACTGTAGATCATTTAATGCAGAAACTGTCAACTCTGCCGATTATTAACTGTTAGCAGCACAGAGAATTGAGATCATTCTTGACTATGCAACAAAAAAAAAAAAAGTTATTAAACACTTTACCTTGCGAAGTAGTTTAGGGTGTGATCAACAGCTTAGAGTATCCGGACTGAAAGAGACGAGTGCGGAATATGCAATGGCTTGAAAGCTCTCGAACAAACCTAATATATTTCAGATAGGTCAGCGTCACGAACCATGACTTGTGCATGACCTAGTGCTTTCGATGATTTTTGATTGTTCGCAGCCAGCCACCCGCAGATTTAATTTATGAACAAAAAATTGGAGTTGATTTCCGCAGCATCATGTAATGGGTGTATTGCCTTTGCGCATTTGTGTCAAACATTACGCAAGGTGTTATTCATTCCTTTAGTCAATAACATCGAAGACGACGAATAAAATTGAAGGTTAACATGAGAAATGAAGGAGATATTTGGAAAACGACCAGTTTCTAAAACAAGGAGTAGGGGAGGGGAGGGGAGTAAAGGTATATTTACCTTTGATTTCCAAGATCTAAAATCTTATTCTCTAAACCATTGTCAGTACATCTCTTTATCGCTTGTCCTTAGCATCTGTTAAGAATTTCAGTATAGATCATTTTTGGAAGGAAAGGGTTAAAGTACCGCAGACAGTCTCTGCATCTCTCAGGGTTCCTTCACATCTATCATGTGAGTTTTTAGCAATATCGAGACTGCCGTATGACAATTAAAGTCTCTATCTAGTGGCTAGAGAAAGAAGATTAGGGGAAATGTTGAGTTCCACGTGTAATTACACTGTCGCCAAGTTTTCGTAACTCCCAGCATGCGTGTAAATTTTCAATTTTGCCTGAGATCCTAATATCACCGAAGTACTTGTCAAATACTGTGTGAATGTCCGTCAAAACAGGGTTTGTTTTCCGGCTTATTTAACTGTTGGGATAATTTAATATTGTTTGTTTGATTCTGTCTTGTAGGAGGTCGTCGTGATTTTACAGAAAGGCAAGTGCACGCAGGTTACGTAATGTTGTTCATGCAAGGTGAGCATGTTGGACACGCAGAAAGCATGCGTCCTAAAAAAATGCTGAAAGACACGGACATTCCTTCGCAAGCGATACCAACATCTGACAGCTGCGCTCGATATAAAGAAATAATGACAGACTATCGTATTTCCTTTTTTATTATCTGACAGCATAAGATTCCCACGCTAAGTTAAGATGATGGTTAAGTAAATTTGAACCAATAATATTAGTTGCACCTTCCCCAGATTTTGAGAATGACAACGAGGTTAGTCTACTGTGTCAATGTGCCCTGTGGCGTTTTTCTCTTTATAGTGTTTCTTTGTTTTAATAACCCCATAGTATACGTGTTTATAATAAATAAAATTGTTGTCTTCTTCGAAGACGTTGAGTGAAGTAGATATAATTCGTCAGTTCAGCATGCTAGAAGAGAGTGTCAATCGAGACAAGCAGCGGAAACGATTCTGTCTGGAATTAAAAAGTGGCTCTCTTCTGTTTTCTTCTTTTCTCGAATTGTCGCTATCTTCCGCTGACCAAGAGAACCACAAATCCATTAAATCATACACGATGTTCTCTTGGACGGGAGAGATAAGGAAAAAGGAAGAAATTTTTTCTTGTAACTCTGAAACAGAGAATATTTCAATTTGTTTGCTGCGTAAGTAAATCACCCGCGATGAGGGGGCGTTTCGGAGGCGTGTAGAAGGGAGGCTGGAGTTCAATTGTCATCAACATTCCTATGTTGACAATGACTAAAACAATGGCCGGGAACGTTCTGAGCATACCGAGTGAATCCATTTGGCACATAGTGCGAGCTTTTCCAAACGTTGCAGAGGAGTACGTGACCAGCATAAAGATGATCACTAGGGGCTAATAATTGACAGAAGTTCGCCGCTTCAACAACCAATTGGATTTTTATTTAGTGACAAAGTGAAAAAATTTCACTAATGAAAGTTCCATTTGTATTCAACAAATGTGGATGAAGAATGAGTTCAGAGCCTACCAAGAAACAATGATTGAAAAGTCGCTGTCTAAGTTTTCAACAGAGTTAATGATTAAAATCGGACTAGCTTTGGCACATGATATTCCTTTACTGACTTGTAATCTATCCGCGACATTTTTTTAAGCATGTCAACTTTTTAGTATACATGGTAAGTTCTTATAGTCTAGAAAATACCCTGAAGGGAAACATAAACTTGTTTGCTGGAGGCTTGAGTCATCGAGGGTTCGAGTTGCTGAGGTTTAAATTACAGTGAATGGGTAACGGGAATTCAGGGATATCGATTTTGGTGTAAGTTATCTGAATTATTAGGATGTTTGAGTCAGTTAGGCTCCAAGCTGTGAGGAGTCAAACGTAATATATTGCAAAGATGCGCTACCCAAAACAAATTCCTATTTTGAAGGAACATCTTGTTTACATTTTTTGCATAATAATGGATTCAAAAGTGTACACAGAGCAGCATCTGTCTTACTAACAAGAAAAGTGAGACACTTCAAGTGATTTTGTCCGAGCTCGTTTTGAGTTTCTCAACCAAAAAATTGCAAAGGACTCTTCAAAAGTTGTTTGATTATATCGGTTAATCACAGCCACATAAATGCAAGTTCAGTGTACGGGTGTCTTATGGTTCAAAATTTCTTTTAAACACCAATTCTTTGAAGAATCGATATTCTCACACTTTTACGAGATTGGAGTAAGGAAAGTCCAATTATTTGTCGAGTAGTTTGTTTCATTTAAGGTTGCCATAGTAATAATAAAACCTCAAGATGACAGTCTTGATTTCAGCCTTATGTGCCTCTAACTTATTTGAAACGAGTTCGGTGACTTCCGTTTTCATTATTGAATTTCCGTAACTACGTTGGTATTTATAACTCGGCAACACTCTAATAAAGATTGTGCAGTGGGTGCATCGCCACCTTAACCTTCCGACAGATTTCGAACCCTTATTTCATAGACCACACTCGAAATTAAAGTTACTTTAAGAGGCTTAAGTCAAAAGAGGCTTTTCCCACCGGAAGGAACACGATAAAAGTCTACTCCAAGGCGGAATTTGGAAAGCAGTGACGCGTTACAAAGTAAAGCGTTGAAAGACTACCTTGTGCTTCTTAAGAATGGCGACACGATTTGGGATTCGATACATTTACGGTTTTATGGTGATCAGTGGTGCAGTTTAAGGTAAGGATGCTAGCTACGTAGCATGCGGTGTGCAGTGACCATGATTATATCTGCGACTTCGAAATACCAAAGGCGCCACTTCGCAAGAAGTTCTTTAGGTGCGTGCCACTAACTGAGTGTTTCTTACTTTCTTCATTCTGCCTTCTGTAGCTAGATACTCCAAGAGTAGTCTGTGTGTCAGGGTGTTTTGTTTTAAACGAAGAAAAATACGATTAAACGAAAGCTTACCTTAAAACTGTCAAGCCGTCTTTCAGTTTTCAGTTTGAGCAGCCGATGATACAGATGCTTGATGGAGTGAGAACCGAGCTTGTAAGAGTGAAGGACTGGTGAGCATTTACTACACTTCGATACACCACCCGATGAACGACTTATTGTTCAAAATTATCCAAATATTTTGATTGGGTAATAAGGACGATCCTATTATGCGGTGCCAATTAACTTTCAAGTTTTCCATGAGAACCTTAAGGTGTAAACTTTTTTTTTCTTTTCAAACTGTGTTATATCTGCGTTCTTATGTACAATCCTTCCGGCAACTGTCTAACTAATGATGACCGAACACAGCAGGAGCTAATTTCTTTTTGTAAGTTGCTGTTCAGTCACATCCGAAAACTATATTTAATTGCCCCCCCTCCCTACAAAAAAAAAAAAAAAAAAAAAAATTGAGCGCATGGAAGACAAGAGCTTAAGAGAGAGGTTTCTGCCGATATCTTAATTTTGCTATGCTTTGTTCTTTGTTATAATTGTTTTTTTGGTTTGTTTTTTTTTTTTATGTGCGCTGTTGTTTCTTTTCAAAACAAAAACGACGTTCTTAATTTTTTTGCTTTATGACGAAGCCAGATGGTAAGATTCGGTATAGATCGACTAACAACATGAGGGAAAACTCAAAATATATACTTATAGAATACAAAAAGAGACTTTTATTAATCACAAATCACACACTGAACAGAGACTCAGCGGAAGAGGCAAATTTTTCCAAGACAGGAAATAGATAAACTTTGATAGAATGAGTTAATAATGATCTTACTCCAAAGTTCTGTCTGAAAAAATATCGCTTTCTCACAACGGCTGGAAAGTCTTCCAAATATCGTCTACATTGATGGGCGTAATAATTTCAGTTTTCTCACAGCGCGAAATCCTCAAATACAGCATCACATTAGACATAAAGTTGCAAACAAGATTCCGTTGATATAAATACTAGAGATAGTAATGAATAAATAAGGCTGGTACAAGGTACAGGGAAAAATCTTGAGATAAACAGCGTAGTCATGTTACCCTTTCAGAAGCTCATTTTAAGATGGGCCTGTTTTGTCAGATGATGGGAAGGTCCGCCGTCAGGGGACCCTCCTGCGGATTTAAGCAACAATAAAGTAATGGAATAAGGTTTGCTGCCGTTTTTCTCCCCCAGTTCCTTCCTCGAGTTTGTACATATACTAGCCTTATTTAACAAAGAACGCCTGTCGTCTATTTATCACAACCGTATATCGCAGATTATACAGCACTCTAACAAAAAGCAAGTCTTAGTCCGTTGGCATCAAGATGTATGCGAAGGAGCCATTTTAATAAAAGAACAGCGCTCCAAACAACATCAACAGCAATAGACCTGTGGACATCTTGACACCTACTGCTGAATCAACCGGACCGTCTACCGTTGGAGTCTGGGTAGCAGCTGGAACATCAAAGCTCGCATATACTGTGCGGGTGTGTAGGTCCTGAGTCGGGCGGTAGTTCTCCCCAATGTAGTCAGTGCCGTTCATCATCAAGCGGCGCATGGCGCTAACCTGTTAATAGATGAAAAGAATTACTTTAGCGCTATGCAAAAACAGCACACGCATTTGCCGTCGTTTGATTTCAAAACAACTTATGAGATGTAGTAGTTTGGGGTTAGTTCCTGCCTGCCACAGGGGCACCCGTTTTTGCCTCAAGGTAAATCTCTGAGATGGGGAAATCCTCGATTCAATATGCAGAATTATACGGGAGCAATCACTGGGTCGTCTTGTTTTCATAGAAAACGGACTTTCTAATCGTAACGCTCACCTGAGATGAGGATATCTCAACGACATCGTGGAAAACTGTCCATGTTACAGACTCGTAACATCCTGGTGTTGTTAATGAGCCTTGGTACCTGTAGAACTTGCTCGTGTTGGATGGGAAAAGGGGAGAGAAAGGAAAAGCAGGAATGTGCACAGTTGCACCTGTAAAATAATAGAAAATGATAATTAATAAAAACAACAAAGAAAGTCATTTGGGTATGATAAAGCTAAAGACCCTGTCGACTTACTCCGAAAAAACTGAAAGTGTTTAGGTTTAGTACATGTCTGAAAGAGATTTCAAGAGTAGAGGTATTGAAAGTCGCCTCAAACCACTAAATTAGACATCTCCCTGAATTTGTGATTAACTCACTCAATGTGATCTTCTCGTCCAAAAATAAAAACAGGCTTGTTAGAACGAAACACAATTTGAGTGAGTAACAGAAGAAATAAGACTTACTTTTGTTGACAACTTTCGAGGCATAATTGAGGAATTTGTCATAAGCAGGATTTGCACTTCCGACCTGAAAGGGAACGGTTTTATTGAAGGAAACATCGGGTAAATAGAGGACATTATAAGAATGGTACCATTTTTTTCTATAGAATAACTGTTGGGCCAAGTTGAGATTTCATTTTCAGCCGCTCTCTATAAGCCGATAGACATCTAATTCACGCCTTTGCAAGAGGATTCCAGACGAAACGCACGCAATTCGTTTTGACAAATCAATTATGAAATTACAATTTCATTGTTATCACAACTTTCTCTTTTTTGATCTAACTTTTAGTGGCAAACTCTCTCTAAGGGGGCTGCCGATATCACTGTTCATTTTAGAAATTTTTGCTAAATCTGTACGAGATATCATGTTAAGCAAATTAACTGGAAAACTGCGAAGCTTCGCTTACTAAGTGTGTGCTAGTTTGACAATATCTAGTCCATCTAGTGTTGTTCAAAAACACTTTTAAACGCGAAATGAATCTGATAGGCACATATTTTGAGCAGAAGATGATATAGCGCTTGCTACGATAGAATCAACCCCCCGAATCAAGAGTATGCGTGTGCACAAAGGTTGACGCCTCTCGTTCTAACTTCTGTTTCGACCATTAGACTAGAACGTCCGTACAACTTGGTGCGCAATTGCAACATTGGCTCACGTCTTTTCGGGTCTTTGCCAAGATTTCTAATCTGTTGCGCCACTGAAGTTTGCGCGTGATCTAAGATTCTATGCATCATTACACGTGACTTAGCACTCAAATACCTCTAAGAAGACACCAAGGACAGCCAAACCGTCAGACTTTGTAGCGGCGTAGGTCAAGTTTGGGTATTTGACATTGTAGCTGACGAAATGGATCTAAGTGAAAGGAATGATCAGGAATGTTAGGTGTGCCATTGGTGATGATGGCAATAACATTCCCTTATCATAGAATGGACATAACTGCCCCCTAGATGCCAAGAGGAAAAATTATTTTACATGCAATGGCTGATTAAATCGTAAATTGTAGAATTTCGCCTTTTTGAATGCAGGATTAATATGGAAGCCTTGAGTGTGAGAGTTATTGAACAGTTTTTAAAGTCAAGTCTTTCATTCAGAAATCACTCATGAAAATTTTGCAGAGAAATTTTCTCTGTACGCACCTCTGCGGAAAACTGCTGTCCATCCAGGTAGTGCTCTGAACCTTTTTTGTTGCTGGGTCCCCAGTGAAGGTGAAACTGAGCGGTGGTGTAGTTACCCACCAGGCCTCCACCATTGACAAAGAACATGTTTTCTGGTATTGACACCTTTAGAGCAGAGCCAGTGTTCATTTGAGTAAAGTTAGCCGAGAGTGTTTTTCCGTAGTTTTGCAAGTTCCAGGCTGAGAACGACCTGTAGGTTGCATTGGTTGAAGTAATGTCTATAGGAGACTGGCTTTTCCCAGAGGCACAGTCGCCTGTCCATCTCAACGGGCCTAAAATGGCAGAAAAGGTTTAAATTTATTTTGACACGAGAAGTGTAATGGACGTCACTCAAGGGCGTGGGTTCAGAAGGTTCAAAGGGGTGCGTGTGCCCATTTCTTCGTTAAAAAATAATCATACTAAAATAGCTATGGATAGCATGCATGTCACCGAATAACAGTGGGGTGATAGGTTGAGATTTTTCTTCATTTATTGTGAAATACCACAACACCGCGTGTCACTAGCCCTGTTGAGATACTCTAGGGGTATGAGTTCTACAGCCAAGGGGCTTCCACCTAACCTAAAAGAAGAACTATCGAACCACACAACTAAACATTAAGGAAGGTAGTAACATTGACTTACCATCAGCACAATTACTGCAGTAGCTCCAGCCTGAAAATTAGGGAATCAAGATTTTTAAATTTCGGAAACACACATAAAGAACTGATGAGACAGTGTTTTTCCTAAATTCTGCGAGTCGAGAATTGTGATCGTTGGGAATTATAGAGGAACATTCATCTTGGAAAGTAATTTCGAATTCATTTGTTCGACATTTATAACTAACCCTATCAGCCGAAAATTCGTAGGGGCTTATTTCTCTTGGAAGGGGTTTAGTCAGGGAGCACTTCTATTCAGAGCACACAAAGTTCTAAACGATGGCTGAGGCAACCAGACTTTCTGATAAGTTACTCTCTAGTTCCTTGTATGAATTTATCTCGATAAACTTGGCTACAAAAAATAAAATGCTGCTACACGAACGCCATACACAGAGGCAACAACAGTATAGTATCATTTACCATAATCAAACGTCTGTGGAAGGCATACAGAGGTATTTCGAACCTATCGTTTTATTTTAGAGAATTAAAATACTTACTGTCGGCTCCCAAGCCAATAGAAATTCCAGTTAGACCAATCAATGTTAACACCAGAAGTTTGGCCATGGTTTACTAATTTGCTTTTTTTCCTGTGCAAGAAAAGAACAGAAAAGTTGTATTTTACTTTTAAATTCCATTTTAAGTTAATCCTCGTGGTTGCATGCTTTTTTTAAAACTTAATATATTACTTTTAAATATAACAAAAAACCGTCCGGGTTATACCATGATTATTTTGACAATTTAGACTCATGAATGTTTTGGCGACTCTCTTATCCCCCGGATTAGAAGCTTTTATGAATAAAACCCCATATTCGCTTTTATTCTTTTAAACTTTAATTATTCCGACGGCTGTCAAAGCACAAACAGGCGCTAAATTGATATACTTGGATGAATATCAACAAAACGTTAGTCTCGGTGGTTGAAACCTGCGGTGGTTTATCTCTGTCTTTTTGTGGACTTCTAACAGGAAAATCCACCAAGTGCCTCCTTTTCCGCCGACGTAGCACAAGAGGTTCTTGAGAAAAACAGAGCTCCGTCATGCAGTGATATACGCACTTTCCTTTCAGCTCTCACATTCAGGAAAAACTAGACAAGTTTTCAACAATACCTTATTCAGTTGGCAGTGAAGGCTTTAAATACTTTTAAGCCTTTCTATTCGGTATAATAACACTAAGCTTGGTCAAAGCCTATGCATGAAAGAAATTCAGAATGCACCAAATAAAGCAAAAAAAATATATATGTATATTGTAGTCGAAACCACTTCTCGCTCTCGTTAGAAAATATAAGATATATAGGCTTAATTACTATCCTTTTTGCATCTGTTTTTGTAAATGGTCAACTGCTCAAATCGATAAGTGCAATTTTTCGAGTGCTAGTCTGAACAGCTGAAGTTTTTTTAATGCGCTTGAGGCGTTGGTCTCCCGCCATTATTTCACTGAGTGCAACCGAGACTATCCGCTACGCTGGTTTCCTTAGTACCATGGCGTAAGAAGAATAGCCAATAGCCAAAAATATAGACAACTTCACTACGCAATATCGTCCAACATGTCATGGGAAAATATTACAACAGCTAATAAAGGAATACATGGGCAGAAATTATGGCAATGTACTGGTATCCGTCTGGCGACCACTGATGGCGCCTGAGAAACTTATTTCGACCAGGAAGAGTTTAATTGTTCAGGTCTCATGTCGAAAAAAAGCTAGGAGGCATATCAAACGCTTCCATTTGACTGTTTAACTCAAAAGTTAGCGCAATAGGGCCGAGTGAAGGGTTTTATTTCAGATGCGCATTTAGCTAGCAGATGTAATGATGTAATCCAAGACCACTTAGCGCACTTTTTATGAATATCCACTCACTCCGTGGAGGTATTAAAATTTTAGACCGTTTAGGATCGATTTAAGCGATACTAAGGGAAAACGATATGTTCGAACAACCGATATCTTCGCCACTACACTGGTTACTCGGTACTACAAGTTATCTAAGGCGCTGCCTCAACGTCGTTACTGGTTGGCATATGTTGTTAGTTTATGCTTGCTGGTTGGCCAGATACACAGGAAGAAGTCAGTAGATGAGGGTATTTTGCTGTTAGGCTTAGTAAAGTTAACATTTAGGACTGAGAAAAACAGGATTGTAGGATAGCTTACCTTGACGCTTCCGAACCTTGCCTGCCTCACGAATGAAGGAAAGATTAGTGGGGCGGCAGATTAAATAGTAGAAGACCCTTGGGTATCCGCTACAATCTGATTGGCCGCCCGATTAATGACTCATTGTTCTAGAGAATAATCTGCCTATTTTGGTATGTATTATTGTGTAATCAACATGATTTTAGCATGCGTTGTTAATTAGCTTTCAGAGTTTCCATGTCAACTTATGTTGAGGGCTTAGCTTTTCTTTTCAAGAAGTGTTAAGTATGCTTTCCTCTTGTCTCCCAAAGGACAGATATAGAGCACCGCTTTACAACCTTGCGTGGAACCTTAATTGAAAAAGCGGTTCTCGCGCTCAGCTCGTGTGAGTTTCAGAATTTCTGTTATCGCAGAAAACTTTTGCAACTAAACAAAAACAATCGTATAAGAGACGCTTCTGAATTTCTTTCATTCATAGGCTTTGTTATTTTTGTTTTTTCTTTATTATTAAGGAGAGGTTTAATTTTTTAATTTCGGCAAAGGTAGAACCTATCATTTTGAGACACAGCTCTTATGTCAATAATGAAAAAAACTGGCCAAAATAGAAATAACATTTTTAAATTCAATAGACAAACGTTTTGCGCTCAAAAGACTTTGTTTGGAGTTGGAGAGTATGATTCTTATCTCCAGCTAAACTTAGAAGAGGCATTGGCAACTACTGCCTGTGAAATAGTGGTTTTATGACCTCGTTTTTTTTACCCGCTTGTGTCTCTCAAAGTCTGTTCAATTTTTTCAACAGCTTGAAAAAACGTTGGATTTCATACGATATTATTATTATGTGCTTGTTTGAAAATATATAAAAGGGGGCAATCAAGTTGATAAAAGAGTTATTTTGCTATTTGGAGAGGCCGCACTTACGCTTTGCAAATAATGAACCACTATTGTTAACTGCTTTGTGTATTTGTTTCACTTAATATTTTTAGACTAATATTAGAAATATTGATCTGCGGTTTGGCACCACTGTTTTATTATCAGTTACCTCGGCAAGTAAGACTCTAAAACGCTTCTTAATCATTCAGTCAATAATGCCAACAAATTCAGTTTACATTTTAAATTATCAAAACATAACCATGCTAGTGCATTAGCTAAACTCACACTTGACAGTGTGAGGGCGACTCGCCCGCCTTACATCCGTTCTGCTTATAAAATTACTCTCTAGAGTCGTCGACCCTTTTAGGTGAATATCATGAAAGTAGTTTGTCATGCCGATCAACATATAAATTAAATGCGTACTCTTCCCACAATTCGCCAAGATTATACCGGCAATGTTGGAAAAGCCTGAGTAGCGGGGTCAAAAGTCAAGGCTTATCGGAGCACAGCTAAGATAACTAGCGGGGAGCATAGTTAATTAATAAATTTGTATGAGAAAGACTTGGTGACTCACTTGCATATTACCAGTGGGCGTATATAAAAGATGAATGAGAAAATAATGACCGCAGTCATCAGAACACTTAACGGCGTCAAGTGGCACTCCACGAAATCATGGGCTGTCTGAGTGTTGGCCATTTAAGAGGCTCTGATCTCAAAAATATACATATATTTTTAAACATTTGTCTCTGATATTGTTCATGATGGTGTTGAATTTAGCCACGACGGCAACGAACCATTTTTTTCTTTTAGTTTGTTTTTTTTGTTTGTTTATTACTTCATGCACCTGTGCAACGGTTTTGTTGATTATTACGTTTGTTTGACCTTGACCGAGCCAGGCTTGCCATAAAAGGGGGAATATTTAAAAGGCAGCAGTGTTAATTGATATTTTGAGATAGCCCCCTCTTAAAAAGCAAAATATTGATACTAGCGCTCGATTTGTACTTCGAAAAATTGTCTGGCTGAGAAACCTGGATCGTCCAAGTATCGTCTTCCGTCAGTCAACTTTGCTATAAACTTAGCCTCCGTAGTTTCCCCTAGCTTGCCAAGCTTTTTCCCTAAAAACATGTAAATATTAAAACTGGTATATCGGAAAATGCACCAATGGTATTGACTTGCGGTTTATGTGTGGCAAAGAGCGGTCGAGAGGTAATCGAAATAAAATGCCCTCTTAACCTATCAAGTCTTTCCCATCTGTTGAGTGATGATCTTGAAAATTGGGGTGAACATGTGAATATCATCAGAAGTTCGGTCTTTAAACTTAAGTGGTGAATGGTGTATGAAATAGGGTCAGGATTTTGATACTTGGGGGGCTGACCATACTGAACACATTGAACATCTCTTTGGTTAAGAAATCAACGTACTTCCCTTTCGTCACGTATTTTGTTGACGTCTGTAGCCGACACGTAGGTTGGGGCATTCTGAGGCCGCCATTGTTGCGATATTGTCTGCATTATTCTCGTCATTGGACTTTGGAACCGGAATTATTATTTTTAACTTTGCTGACGGAATTTTTGTTGTGAAAGAACAGAACGAGTTTGTCTCTCGTTCTTAAAAAATTTCGGACTGGAAGTAAAAATAGCCTGTGATAGATACACACTTTTAATCAAAAAATTGCAAAAATCCCAAAAGCAAGGACTATCAGTCATTACTCTGGATCAGTGGGCAGCAATGATCGTTGAGCCAACATCAAATGACCTCATCAATCATTACACCCCTGACTAATACTCGTGATCACTGTCCTCTCAACATGAGCAGTGATTACGTAACTATGGAGTGTATGAGACTGTGACTTTTTTTTGTCGATCTGTCTGACTGAAAAATGTTTTTCTCAAGGATTTTAAACTCATTCAAGCTTTAAAAACTGGACACAAAAGGTGAAATAACCGTAAACCATATCACACACGAGCGATTTCTTTAAGAGGCTCTGTATTTTACGAGTTCTCAGAACAATATTTGATGGAAAAGGATTTTTCCGACTTATTAAATCATTGAATAAAGGAGGTAAGTTTCTAAAGAAATTGTGGCACTGCGTTGGTGGGAGAGTCTAATAGGGTAATTTAGTGTTATCAACTGAGTTGAAAACGTAAATTAGCCCCGCCGTAAAGAGTTTAAAGGCTGACGTTACAAGCGTTAGCCTTTCGTCAGAGCGAAAGAGTTCTCAGTATTGCTCTATCACTCTGACGAAGGGCGAACGCTCGAAACGTCAGCCTTTAAACTCTTTCCGGTGGCCAATTTACATTTCAAGTCAGTTGATAATAGTAAATTACCCTGTTATTCAATCATTGGATTGCACAGTTACATTAAAGTTGAGTTTTGTAAACTTCTAAACTTTACACTAAGGTCTTACAAATCGCGACTTGAAGACTTCGGCACATTCAGAGTGCAGCGCTGATTAAAAAAATTACGAATTTTTGAGACTAGCCCGACCAGATGACCAGCTCCCCACTTAAAGTCGTCAAATCACAATGACTTTCTTCTAATTTGTTGTGTGTTTTACTGTAGCGTCCTGGATTCTTTCCGGTTTAATCGATATCCATAAGTGACTAAGATGTGGTTTTCATAAAATCCAGTTTTTCTCATGGACATATTTGACTTTAGATCAGTTTTAGACAAACAATAAACAGTAGCACCTCTGAGTCGGTGGCCCTTTTGTTGTTGAGACAAAGGATGACCTCTTTATTCTGATGGTCTAATCACAATCAAAAATTGATGAATATAATTCACAAATTTCGCATTTCGAAATTTAACGAGGGTGAAAGGCTAGTTTTTCAGTTGTTTGGATTAGGGTGTTGAGACTCCGTCTAAAAACATGCACAAATAACAGCAGAGACTGCGTGAAAAAAAAAATCAGGAACGGTAACGGTGAAACGACCGAACCGACGATGATTACGTAACGGGAAAACTAACTCTGCGCACTATTCCCACACAAACATCTCGGTTAACTCAGAACTCATAAGATGCTGTCAGCAGGTTTTGAAATTGGTTTTAACGCTAAGCAAAAGGTGAAACCAGCGAAAGAAGAATAATTCGAAGAGTTTAAACGCCATTCCTGGAGACTTAGGAGAAATAGCATCAGTTTAATATTGACTTCTTATAACTTAACTCGAAAGTCAAACGGAAAAATAATAAAACTGATAAAAGGTTCAGCTCAACTCAGTTGTCATTAAGAGAATTACAGAGAACAATAACACTGTAGTGCTAAAGGAAATTACTATTGGAAGCGATGAGAAAGTAATCAAACACTCGAAGCAGAAATTTAGTATTACTGGGTAACTGCAAGAATCTGAAAACAAATAAAACCTTTAATAAAGTTCACATTAATCCCACAGAAACGGCATTTTGTTGTAAATATTTGACTTTGTTAATTAAAGATATTAAATATTCAGAGCACATATATGAGTTGAAAACAAAACATTGAGCCGTAGGAAAAATGAATAACCGAGAGCTTTTTTGTGAGTGTCAGGGACAAAAATGTCCTTAAATATCCGTTGTACTTCCTGGAAGTTACTGCACCTGAAGACATTACGTTTTCCTCCACAATTCAAACTTTTTTCCCTTGTGTATCTCGAATTCGGGCGGCAAAATTGACGTATAAATATTCTCGAATAAGATCAGACATAATATTAAAAAAACTGAGCCTGAGTGTTGTCCTAAAATAGTTAAGAGAGCGCTGCTCCTGCACTGTAAAATAAAGGGCCGGTTCGTTTGGCAAGAGAATGATAAGCCATGGATCTCTAGCTAGCCTATCAACTTTCCATGAATCAAGGCTCTTTTGAACGGTTATGACGATCAGTGACGTACTTAAATACCGATATTCTAACCTCCAAAATTAGACGGCATAAGAAGTCAAGTAGTCGATTAACGCTAAACTCATTGGATTAGAAAATATCAGGGTTGAGTGGTCGGGTGCTTTCGTGTGGGTAGGTGTGAGTGTGATTGTTCGTCGGTACAGGGTCTCATGCGCCAGTTGTCGCGTATATGATCGAGGAGGCAAAGGGTTTGTGAATTGGCTTTTTAACTGCCGAAGCGGAAAAGCAGATCTACCCACCAACAAGCAAACTATCATCGACAAAAACAGGAAAGCCTACACCGGGTTGGGTCTGACCAATTTATGTCTTACTCGAGTCGTCTCTGAGCGCCGTTTTTTTTAAACTACACCAGAACAAGAAGCTTATCGTCTGAATGTCTGCAGCATGTGATTTAAAGTATTGCTACTCTATCTAGATGGATACTAGCTTCATTTGGATAACCCACAAAAAAATGTTGAGCAAACCAGTGAACATTCCCGTGCTGTAACCTGCTTACGATCAGGAGGCTACCTCATCTCCCAATTGTAATAAATCGGGAAAAAATAACCAGAATGTATGAAAAAGAAATACCTTCAAATGGTGTAAATCAAATTGGCAAACTCACGTTTAAATCAGAAGTTCTCAGGTTGAGGTCGTGTCACAGTGAATTGCCACAACGGTGCTGAGCTGCAATAAATATCCACCGAAGTTGATTCTGGATTTTGTCTGACCAGCTTTTGTTTGTTTGTGCAGTTAGCACTATGTGAAGAATTTCCGGCAATCAGCTGTGGTGAATTGATCACTTTGCTATGTCAAATGGGTTTTCAATTGGCTGTCGAACCTTAAAACCAAAATCAACGTCATTAAGATGGCCAATCAAGATGGTGAAAAATATCACGTGGAAAAATTAGACCGAAAAATAAATGAATATACAAATAAACGCAAAAAAAAAAAAAAAAAAAAAACTGGAAAAACAATAATGACAAAGTCACGCATCGATTTGGTTTGATTGCTTGAAAGCATGGAGCCCGTTTCCTTGACAGGTGTAATAAAGCAAAATCAGTACAATCCCGGTTTTATTTCAAATTACAATTAAAAATCATTCCCATTCATCGCAAAAAATGTTGGTCTCCTATCTTGAATTCTTTTGCAACCCAGTGAATGACTTGACCAAAGATCGGTATCGGCGCCAGAAAACCTCACAAGTAATTGTTGTTAAATGATTCTGTTAGTTGCTTGATCATCACTGATCACGTGTATCTGTTGATCTTTACTCAGTACAAGTGTTTATTTTCTAAACCCAGAGGAACACCTAAAAAACAACCAACTAATCGAAGGTTGACCGCCCAAGAACTTTCCTTGGTATGTTAGGCAAAATTCTTTTATTAGAGAGGAATCCAAATTAAGTGTCAAGATAAGGAACGGAGATCCCAGCATTGGACGTGTAAAAAATTTAGCCGGTTCATATGTCAAAATACGTAATGTATTGCCAATATGGTTCCTCTTTCCCTACTTGAACTCTAAACAGAAAACACTATAGATATTACACTTGTATTAGACCGGTGGCGGTCTATCGTCACGATAACATGAAAATATCCTTGGAAATTCAAGCTGTGTGCTGATCGACTCTTCTAGAACTTCTTCTTTGGGTAGCCCAGCCAAGATGTCGAATTCAAAGACGCCAAAAATGAAACAAGGGAATATATTTCTCAACTGAACGTTTCTAACTCTAACAGAACCATTTTTCGGGATGAAACATAATTAAAATTTTGTTTTAGTTTCGTTTCTCAACAAGCATTTTTGTTAGAATTGCACCGAAATACCCCAACACCCTTGGGCAGTTGGAAGCTTTTCGCTTCAATTTCCATTGTTTGAAATTATCGTCCTTTCTTATTGAAGAGGCGGGGGCTGTAAGTTGACCGAGGGGGGCTAATAGCGACCTGGGAATGAGTAATTGGGTAGATTTACATATATTGCGAGGCTACCAAGCAGTTTTTAGTGTCTTTGTCCGCAGTGTTTTTGTTTTGATCATGCAAGATACTTTGTGATTCCCGCGCAAACAAGCTTTTTGGAATTCTCTCTGACGACTTTTTAAATGAACTTCATTCGTGACTTACACGAAGAGTGTATGGTATGTACTAATCACGGTAAAAGTAAGCTTTTAAAATTGATTCTGACCGTCATAATTGGAATACCCACGAGTCTATTTCATTCATCGTGTGTCACAGGTGTTAAATGACGGTTTAGTCATCCATAATATCCCTTGGGCACTTAGCTATTGAATCTTGTGAAGTAGCACCAGCGTGGAAAAGATCAAAATTAGAATTTATTGTCTTTGAAGTCCTTTCAGCAGGCAGTCTTTTAAAGAACGCGGAATGCCAACAATAGGCAATATTTTGATTCAGCAAGATGTTCATTAGTGGCCCTCTATTGTTTAGTTTGCTAAATTAGCGTGTGCTTTTTTTTTCTGGAGAGTGATACTTATTGCTTCAGACCACTTTCAAGATACACCTTGAAATATATGGCCTCTTGATTAAACAACAATGAATTTTATTTGGGACATTTTTGAGAAGCTAGTTCCTATTTTAAAGGAATGCATACACTACTAAAGGGGTTGACATCAGCCCTTGTTTTGGCATTGTTAACAAAATTGTAAGGAGAAAGATCTGTGACAAGTGCTATTTTACACCAAAATATGTCTAAGCTTCCTTAAAACCTCACTGATGTGGGAAAGGAAGCGGGCTACCCTAGTCATTTTTAGGATGTGTAAGCGATATAAAAACCCTTATATTTTCTTGGCAACATGTCATGTCTTGTCATTTTACCTGCAAGAAGTCATTTGTTTAATGGTTAGATATGCATGCAATTTCACACTTTCGTGGACATTTGTAGAGATATTTATTATGTAGTGGATTTTCACATTCTTCAGAAATTAGTACCACAAGTGTAGCACTTGATCATCATTTTATACCTAGTAATTACTTCTTTTTTTAACCAAATATGGTTTGCTGATCAAATACCAGCCTCATGTGAATGCTGTTGTAAACCTCCTAATTGAAAAGTAAATGGCAAAGGAAATGTTTGAGCATTAGGGTAACTAATGGGGTGTCTGCCCTAATTTTTGGGGAAAGTGACTGGTAATGGCACTCCAATGAATAGCTCCCCTTGAGAAACTGCTTTGTTAATAACTGAAATTTTTTCATGAAAATGTTTAAAGAAAAGAATGATCCTTAGGAAAGAACCAGCAACAGCTTGTACTGGCTGGTTGAAGAGGGAAAACGTTGCCAAACAACCATTCCTGGGTCTCAGAGCATTGGGTATGAAAAACCAACAAGAAAAAGTCACGCAAAATTGCACTCTATTGGTAAACTTAGGGCCTGGACTAGATATCTGTCTCATGTGAATGCCAGGTTCACTGGTCCATGTTTGAAATAAATTCAGTGGGTTTTTTATCAAGAAAAATACAATTTGTAGTTTGAGTGTAACCCTAAATGTACCCATGTAGCCTTATTGATCCCTGTACTGCTGAAAAGAAATTATTGAAATTCCTTAGCACTGGAGCAATATTGTCTGGTTATCCTACTTACAAGTATATGTATGTAGTACATGGACATTTATGACTGCACTAAAAGTGACTGGAAAGGACACTTCAAAATGTCATCTAGATCCAGTTCAAAAAGGAAAAAAAAAAATTCTACCAGTGATACATAAACAAGGGTTTTACTACCACAAGCAAAACTGTCAAAACCTCATTTCAGTGGTCCTTTAACCCTTTAACTCCCATGAGTGACCAAGACAGAATTTCTCCTTACAATATCAATACAATATCAAGCAGACAAGTGATGAGAATAAATAAAAATATTAATTAGGGAATTATTAGTTGATGCAATAACAAATTCTCAAAACTAACATCACAAGAACTATTTGGCAGACAGTAAGGAGAATTACTAATGGGATCTTGGGAGTTAAAGGGTTAACCCCCAAATAGATTTAAAACAAATGTTCCTTTTCAGTTTCAAAGGAAACATACAAAAGTACAATGTGGAGAATATGCTTACTGATGTTTGGGTGTAAAAGCTCAAGACATACTCTCAGAGTGCAAGATGCATCAAATTTATTTTAGGCATTATTACTTGAAACATCTATCCAATAAATTTCAATTTGGGATGAGGATGAATGAGCACGTTTGATGAGTAATATTTGATATTCGATTAGCTATCATCGAAATTTGTTTTACAAATGGAGAAATACAGTTGGTTTATTGTTCTGTTATTTTGCAGGCAGGGTGGACTAATCTCAATTCATCTCTCAGAGGAAACCTGAGGAAGTTGTCAAAGTCATTACGTTTTGTCTCAGCCAGGAGGCCTGGATCTAAGTTAACATTTGACAATGTGATGTCTGAGGCAAAAAATGCTACTATTGGTGTGTATATGCATGGTTTAGTGTTCACTGTTTGCAATAGTGTGTGAAAATTATTGTGTCAAAGTAGAATTCATCATCCAAGTTAAGTGAGATAAAACTGATCATTCAGTTTTCATGAGCCTGACCCACAACAGTGTACTAACAGGGAACCCTTCACTTCAGTCACCATCAGAATTAGTAATTCTGATGGTGACTTCCATTGAGGTTGACAAAAATCTGAATAGAATAACAGTTTAGAGGACTGCTCTGCATGGTCCTATGCCATGATAGCCTTTGATTCCTACATTCAACAATTTACTGCAAAAGCTAAGTAAAGTTCACCTGGGTATTTTATTGGGAATGTAACATTTTAGTTACACATTTATCAGCTGTAGATTGTCTTAAATGGGTTGGAAATTAAACTTTCCTCCTTATCTGTTGGTAAACTTCTTTTGATTATGTATTTGTTAAGAAGTATATTGCAGTGTACATCTGGAAAGTGATGACTTTCTTTCTTTAAGCCTATGGTTTATACACGTAATGTACTTCAAACTGAAACTTGACTGTAATGAAGAAAATTCAAAACAAATTTTTCACAATTTACTAGGGGGTAATTCACTTTACATACATAGTTCACTGTACCACATGACCTGTAGAGCCCCGTTCACATTGTTATCGAAAAACAAAATGTTATGTTAGAGCCGCATGTGATGGCATTGGTGTGATGGCGCACTTGTAGTTCTTTCTGCAATTTGATTGTTACGTTAGTATCTCGCGCACCTGTAGTTTTTTCTGTCATTTGATTGTTACGTTAGTATCTAGCGCACTTGTAGTTTTTTCCGTCATTTGATTGTTACGTTAGTATCTGGCGCACTTGTAGTCTTTTTCTGTAATTTGATTGTTACGCTGGATTGATAAGCTGGAAACCACTCCGCTTCGCGTCGTGGTTTCCTACGCTTATCTCGTGTTCTCCCAACCTCCCGCGTGTTTACATCAGGCTATGTAAACACGGAAACCATTTTACATTTCTTCAATCTCGCGCACCTGTAGTTTTTTCTGTCATTTGATTGTTACGTTAGTATCTAGCGCACTTGTAGTTTTTTTCCGTCATTTGATTGTTACATTAGTATCTGGCGCACTTGTAGTCTTTTTCTGTAATTTGATTGTTACGCTGGATTGATAAGCTGGAAACCACTCCGCTTCGCGTCGTGGTTTCCTACGCTTATCTCGTGTTCTCCCAACCTCCCGCGTGTTTACATCAGGCTATGTAAACACGGAAACCATTTTACATTTCTTCAATCACGTGCACTTGTAGTTCTTTCTGTAATTTGATTGTTACGTCAGTATCTTGCGCACTTGTAGTCTTTTTCTGTAATTTGATTGTTACGTTAGTATCTCGCGCACTTGTAGTCTTTTTCCGTAATTTGATTGTTACGTTAGTATCTCGCGCACTTGTAGTCTTTTTCTGTAATTTGATGTTTGCGTCAGTATCTCGCGCACTTGTAGTCTTTTTCTGTCATTTGATTGTTACGTTAGTATCTTGCGCACTTGTAATTTTTTTCCGTAATTTGATTGTTACGTTAGTATCTCAAGCACTTGTAGTCTTTTTCTGCACTTGTAGTTCTTTCTGTAATTTGATCGTTACGTCAGTATCTCGCGCACTTGTAGTCTTTTTCTGTAATTTGATTGTTACGTCAGTATCTTGCGCACTTGTAGTCTTTTTCTGTAATTTGATTGTTACGTCAGTATCTCGCACACTTGTAGTCTTTTTCTGTCAATTGGTTGTTACGTTAGTATCTTGCGCACTTGTAATTTTTTACCGAAATTTCATTGTTACGTTAGTATCTCAAGCACTTGTAGTCTTTTTCTGCACTTGTAGTTCTTTCTGTAATTTGATTGTTACGTCAGTATCTCGCGCACTTGTAGTCTTTTTCTGTAATTTGATTGTTACGTCAGTATCTTGCGCACTTGTAGTCTTTTTCTGTAATTTGATTGTTACGTCAGTATCTCGCGCACTTGTAGTCTTTTTCTGTCAATTGGTTGTTACGTTAGTATCTTGCGCACTTGTAATTTTTTTCCTTAATTTGATTGTTACGTTAGTATCTCAAGCACTTGTAGTCTTTTTCTGTAAATTGATGTTTGCGTCAGTATCTCGCGTACTTGTAGTCTTTTTCTGTCATTTGATTGTTACGTTAGTATCTTGCGCAATTGTAATTTTTTTCCGTAATTTGATTGTTACGTTAGTATCTCAAGCACTTGTAGTCTTTTTCTGCACTTGTAGTTCTTTCTGTAATTTGATTGTTACGTCAGTATCTAGTGCACTTGTAGTCTTTTTCTGTAATTTGATTGTTACGTCAGTATCTTGCGCACTTGTAGTCTTTTTCTGTAATTTGATTGTTACGTCAGTATCTCGCGCACTTGTAGTCTTTTTCTGTCATTTGATTGTTACGTTAGTATCTTGCGCACTTGTAATTTTTTTCCTTAATTTGATTGTTACGTTAGTATCTCAAGCACTTGTAGTCTTTTTCTGTAATTTGATGTTTGCGTCAGTATCTCGCGTACTTGTAGTCTTTTTCTGTCATTTGATTGTTACGTTAGTATCTTGCGCACTTGTAATTTTTTTCCGTAATTTGATTGTTACGTTAGTATCTCAAGCACTTGTAGTCTTTTTCTGCACTTGTAGTTCTTTCTTTAATTTGATTGTTACGTCAGTATCTAGCGCACTTGTAGTCTTTTTCTGTAATTTGATTGTTACGTCAGTATCTTGCGCACTTGTAGTCTTTTTCTGTAATTTGATTGTTACGTCAGTATCTCGCGCACTTGTAGTCTTTTTCTGTAATTTGATTTTTACGTTAGTATCTCGCGCACTGGTAGTTTTTTTTGTCATTTGATTGGTACTTTAGTATCTCGCGCACTTGTAGTTTTTTTTTCTGTAATTTGATTGTTACGTTAGTATCTCGCGCACCTGTAGTTTTTTCTGTGATTTGATGTTTGCGTCAGTATCCCACAGATTCGAAGTTTTCTTTGTGATTGGACTGTTACCTAATATCTTTCTCGTTATTTTTTATCGTTACGGTAGTATTTCGTCCACACTTACTTACTGCCTTGATAAACCCATTGTTACGTATTGAGAAAGGGTGTGTTTACTGTGCAATCTCTCTCATTCTTCTTTATCTTGTTGCAGTTCTATTTGGTGAACAGCATCATCAGCCATCAATCCTGAAAGCTCAACTGTGTGTCCTTGAAAGAATGGTGTCTCAGAGCATAGAACAGTCACATGGCGCATTCCCTGTCACTGTTGTCTTAGAAATGTTCAACCTACAGCAACAACCTTTACTGGATGCTTATCAAGCCAATGAAATTTCTTTAGAAGAATTAAGAAGTGAATATAAGGGAACCGAAGGATTTTCCATGGAGCATTATGGATACATTTTGGAAGTTTCCAAATCACTTGGTGCTAAGCTTGTGGCTGGATTTGTGCCAAAGCCATTTTGTAGAATGATTGTTGAGGAGGGAAAGACACGCGCATTGGAAAAAATTGAACAAACTGGGGGCCCGCCCAGAGAATTTTATGTCGATGGTTCTGAGGATCATTACAGGTATTTTCAAGGATTGATCAGTGGAAACCTAGACCAAGTCGTCGACAAGTACCGTCGCATTTTTCCCGCACAGGTTCTAAGAGATAGTTCATTTGCATATACGATCATGGATATTGTTCAGAAGTCAGAGGGACACGCAAGGATTCTTGGAATCTGCGGCTCAGGACACTTAGACTTTAAATATGGAATTCCTGAAAGGATTTCACCTGAGATTCCAACTTATGTGCTAACTTCTCGCACCCTTGATGACCCAGTAGAACATAATGTTGCTGATTGCATATATCAGTACTCATATTAACCCATCACTCTCTACCTCTCATGAGTGACCAAGGTCGAATTTCCCCCTTATGATATCAATACAATACTAAGAAAAATATCTATTAGGGGATCACTGGTTGATCCAATACCAAATTCTCCGAGGTAACATCATAAGAATCATAAGGAGTATTACTACAGAGATCTTAAGAATGAATTGGTTAATACCAGGGGAACAAGGAAACCTCACTCAAGGCTTTTTCTCTCTCCATCTGTTGGGGAGTTAAGGAAATGAAGGCTTGTCTACAGGTTACTTTTGACATACTGCCATAGGTGCAGCACTTGATCTCCCCGGTGGAGATGGGTGAAAGAGAGAGTAAGAGAGAATTAGCGAGACTGAATCTAAGCTGTGGCTTGACAGAAAGAGATGAAAGTGAAATGTAGACATTTCAGATTTTAAGATTTACTTTTCAGTGTTTATCTACACTTTGCACTTTACAATGTAAAGTTATTGTGATTAGACAATACTTTCTTGTCAGACCTGGTATGAGATCAAACCACCTCGATGTAACCTTAACTGATACAACCCTTCTTCCTACCATTTCTAAGGTTGAAATTCAACTACTACTTTGGAGATTGTATTTGGAGAAATACAATATTACTAGGAAGATTCAGAATTGTAATTTTGACTACGTGACAACCGTACGTTGTACAAAATAACCCTTAAACTTCTCGAGATTAATTCAAAATTCTTTGTCCTAGCTGTATGTACCATGTACTATCTGAGTAATTGTGAGGAAGATTTGGTCAGAAGTCAACATAGAGCCTTCCACCTGCTAATTTGTTTCAAAAGTGTTTGTTCTAGCCGCATGTACTATGTACCATGTACCACCTGAGTAATTATAAGGAGAATTAAGCCAGAAGTCACTATACAACCCTACACCTGCTGAATATACTCAATTTTCTTTCACCTGAGTTTTTAAAGTAACTTCCAGTTCAGTGTCGGCGTGAGCCATACAGGATCGCATTGGTTTTACCTTGCTCCACCTTGTGTTTTGTTTAGAAATTTTGCGCCATCCTCTCAACTAATCTGATAAAAACCAAAGTCAATCTTGTCTTGTTCATCAGCGTTAATTCTCACTTGTGTACTTGTGTTTACTTTAAGTTATTACTGGCTCCTGGCGTTATTTTATTATGCTCTGACTAGTCGTTTGTATTAATTAAATTATGTTATTAAGTGAGATATGAGGGGTGAAGGGTGATGTACAAAATATTCTTTAGCGATTAATTATCAGTTGGTGATGATTGATATATAACGTTGGATGGAGAAAAATAGGGGTATTTTGTAAAAGGCACTCCCCCAGTCACAAGAAATAATGAATAAAAACAGAAGTTGTGTGTCATTACTTCCATGTGAAAGAGTGAACGAGATACAATCGTGGAAGATAACATAACCAAATAGAATCAGTCAGAAAGCTATAAAGAAATCGTCCTATGAGCTCATTTCTATGCAGTAAAAGATGATCTTAGTCTTACGAAGGGATGTAGTTATATGTAAACGTAGAATTTGATCTGGCTCGCAAATGAAATCCCCGCATTTCGTCTCCCATGTTAATAATATCGTTATCTTCAACTTAAGTCATTTCATATCACAACAAGGATCTGTCTAGCTTAGGTGTGTTTCTAAGAACTGAAAAGAGGGAGGATATCATCGAGATGTGATGAAATTCCCAAGCAAGGTTCCCAGCAGCACGTTAAACTATTCGTCTAGGTGTATATGAAATTGATTCTAAGAATCACATGTTTTACTCGTCACTTGCCGAGATAGCTCAGTTGGGAGAGCGTCAGACTGAAGATCTGAAGGTCCCTGGTTCAAATCCGGAGGGTTCCCGTGAGCCCTGAATAATCCCGGGTCTCGGCATTTCATTTTCTTAATTTTATCCATGCTTTTTTTTTTAGTTTAACTTAGCAAGTCGGCTCACTTTCTAAACGAGATACCTCGATGCTCAGTGCATAGAACACCTGACTGCAAAAACCAGCTGACGTTTGAACAATTAAGCAGGAACTTGATATTTTTTCTCCTTTTCTTCTGATTCTTCCAATAAAAGCGTGATATCTTTTCATGATAGTATATTTTTCGATATAACCAGTTCTATTACATTGTTAGTTCGTTGAACTTTTCCGTTAAAACTGAAATTGAGGAAGAGAGTCGGAAAGGGATAAAATGCTGACTCATCAAAGATGAACTTTTCAAATTCCATGCTTCGTGTGGCTGTAATCAGAACTAATTGTCACCTATAACGTAACACATCACTTGCCGAGATAGCTCAGTTGGGAGAGCGTCAGACTGAAGATCTGAAGGTCCCTGGTTCAATGCCGGAAAGCTTAATTGAGCTTTGAATAATCCCGGGTCTCGGCATTTCCTTTTTTAAAATGAGTTCATTTGTGCGTTTGTTTTATTTTCGTGCTAGATTTTCCTGTTGTTAGTAAGTTAAACTTTTCTCTTTAAACCGAATTGAGGAAATGGATCTAAAAGGGGTAAAATTCTGACTTATCAAAAATGAACTTTTTAAATTCGATGTTTCGTCTAGGTTTATATGAAATTGATTCTAAGAATCACATGTTTTACTCATCACTTGCCGAGATAGCTCAGTTGGGAGAGCGTCAGACTGAAGATCTGAAGGTCCCTGGTTCAATACTGAAGAGCGTAACGGAGCTCTGAATAATCCCGGGTCTCGGCATTTCCTTTTTTAAAATGATTTCTTTTGTGCTTTTGTTTTATTTTCGAGCTAGATTTTTCCTGATGGCGTTTGACTTTTCAAAGAGTTTCTTTCCTGTGTGATTGTCAATTCATAATGACTTGCAAGTTAAAGAAATGTCCACAAACGCTATGGGTAAACCAGTTAAGCATTTTGACTTGATTACTTTACTCCCGCAAAAATACTTACAAAAAATAGTTTTCAGTGATGTTTTAAACCTCTATCAGTATTACACACAGACAGAGCATGAGGAACCTTTAGGTTAGATTCCATGCTTCAATAAAAATTTGGAACTTAAAAGAGGGAAGGTATTCTTCGTGATGAGATTACGGTCAAGGAAGATCCCCCCAACTGCTGGGTAGGACACTTTTCACTTACGAACTTGGCAAGATGGCTCATCTTATCGACGAGTTCCCTGCAACTCAGGACATAGAACACCTGATCAAAACAGCACATACTGGAATCCTCAGACAGGAACTCGTCACCTTACCCCTTTTATTCCAAAGCTTACAGTTAATGCTTGATATCTTTTCAGGTATCGTATATTTTTCAATAAAGGTATTGATGAGTTCCCTGCAACTCAGTAGATAGAACAATTGATCAAACCAGCACAGATTGGAATCCTCAGGCAGGAACTTGTTATTTTTTCCCCTTTGTCTTCCTTTAATAAAGTCAGTATTGTTATATCGTTAGTAAGTTAAACTTTTCCCTTTAAACTGAATAAACTGAAATTGAGGAAATGCATCTGCAAGGGGTAAAATGCTGACTTATTAAAAATGAACTTTTTAAATTCGATGTTTCGTCTAAGTATATGAATTTAACTGCAAGAATCATTACCTGTTCATCACTTGCCGAGATAGCTCAGTTGGGAGAGCGTCAGACTGAAGATCTGAAGGTCCCTGGTTCAATGCCAAAAAGCTTAATTGAGCTCTGAATAATCCCGGGTCTCGGCATATCCTTTTTTAAAATGATTTCATGTGTGCTTTTGTTTTATTTTCGCGCTAGATTTTCCTGTTGTTAGTAAGTTAAACTTTTCCCTTTAAACTGAAATTGAGGAAATGCATTTAAAAGGGATAAAATTCTGACATCAAAAATGAACTTTTTAAATTCAATGTTTCGTCTAGGTGTATATGAAATTGATTCTAAGAATCACATAATTTACTCATCACTTGCCGAGATAGCTCAGTTGGGAGAGCGTCAGACTGAAGATCTGAAGGTCCCTGGTTCAATGCTGAAGAGCTAAATTGAGCTCTGAATAATCCCGGGTCTCGGCATTTCCTTTTTTAAAATGATTTCTTTTGTGCTTTTGTTTTATTTTCGAGCTAGATTTTTCCTGATGGCGTTTGACTTTTCAAAGAGTTTCTTTCCTGTGTGATTGTCAATTCATAATGACTTTCAAGTTAAAGAAATGTCCACAAACGCTATGGGTGAACCAGTTAAGCATTTTGACTTGATTACTTTACTCCCGCAAAAATACTTACAAAAAAAAGTTTTCAGTGATGTTTTGAACCTCTATCAGTATTACACACAGACAGAGCCTAGGGAACATAGAACACCTGATCAAACTAGCACAGGTTGGAATCCTCAGGCAGGAACTTGTTATTTTTCCCCTTTTTCTTCCTTTCATAAAGTCAGTATTATTACATCGTTAGTAAGTTGAACTTTTCCCTTTAAAACTGAAATTGAGGAAATGCTTCTGCAAGGGGTAAAATGCTGACTTATTAAAAATGAACTTTTTAAATTCGATGTTTCGTCTAAGTATATGAATTTAATTGCGAGTTCATCACTTGCCGAGATAGCTCAGTTGGGAGAGCGTCAGACTGAAGATCTGAAGGTCCCTGGTTCAATTCCGAAGAGCTTAATTGAGCTCTGAATAATCCCGGGTCTCGGCAGTTTCTTTTTTTTAAAATATACGATAAATGCGTCAAACTTTAAAAATATCTTCTGAACCAGCCACTGAGTTTTTATGTATTTGTTATGTAGAAAGACCTTCTTCAGCCAACAATTGACGTAACACAGGGCCATAGGAAATCATTCTTTAGGTTCGCGCTTGTTATATTAGCAAAAGTAACGAAGTCCTTTTTAACCTAAAATTAAATATTTTATCCTTATATTTTTCGTTTTTAAACAGGACCCCTTTGATAACAGTACTCTTGCACTGTAGGGCTATCCTGAAGAAATATTCGTTTTATTATAATTATTATTATGCAAACGTTCGCAAATACTTTTGTTATTCACTGATTAACACGTGAAATAGCTTTATTTCTCCAGGGGGTTTCTTGTACATTCCCATAAAGCGTGCGAATAAAACTCGTAGTATGTTTGAGACGTTGTCATCAGTGATTGGTTTGTTCTTTCATTCCATATTCATGACCACTTTTGTTAGTTTTGTCAAACCATACAGGTTGCGGACGGGTTAGGTTGTGTTTCTGTGAGCACAGTTTACACAAGGAACGTGCATGAATCATGTGGACTGAAGCTTGAAAGATGTCTTAAGGTGAGCATTACTCTTGGAAAATGGCAACTTTAATCTTAGTACCCTTTCTAAAGGAGGCCTAAGTTTCTGAACACGTGCGCTTTCGGTTCGCTTCGCTTCACTGATGTTTCATACATCTGTAATTTGTTCCTAACTACAAGAAAACTAAAGCTAGTCTTGAGATACAACTACTACCGAGTTGTATATTGATAGAACTCCCTCACAGCTCGTTAATTTTTCATAAATTTAAACAACGGTAATACATGTGAAATTCACGTAAACGCGGTCACGTTCGTGAAATGGGTAAAATTTCCGCACAGCCCCATACTACATTATGCATTCAGTTCTTGAATAGAGAAAATAATAACAAAAACAATACATTTCCATTGGGAAAACAGATTTGTTTTACAACAGTATGGGGCTGTGCGGAAACTTTACCGTGAAATGTGGTAACTGCTCCTCTAAACGCTCAGAGGAACTGTGGAGAAACATTTCGCAAATTCGTTTGAGAGGAAACTCGTGGTGCGTTTAAAGTCCTGCTACATTAGGAGATTATCGTACTCATTATACTACACCTAGTCATCTGTGTTTTATTTCATAGAAACTCACTGAGTATTTGTTTGCCAATTTCTAAATACAGATAGACAGAGGAACAAGGAATACAGGGAAAGGACAAACTGGAATCAATGAATCTGAAAGATGCTCTGCAAAGATAAGAACTTTGAAGATAGTATAACACTTTTTGTTACAGAATTGGTGGCTGCCAAATACCTAAATTTGTTAAGATCAGAGCTTTCATATCGGCTAATAGAAATGTAACGACGAACTGTGATAGGATAGCGGACTCAAGTAATGATTCTACAAAAAGTAAAATTTGACGGTTGGCAGTCACCAGTATAGGTGGATTTTTTAAGGTGGCACAGAAGAGCAAAAAATATTTGCAAGAAGAGATTATCAAAATAATTCAAAGATTTTCAACTCTGTTCAAAGCACCGTTTTGAAGAAGATTATATCCTGAAGACGTACGTTTCTAACCAGACAGTTCATCTAATCGTTTTTTCAATACAATGGTCAGTGCCACCTTAAAAATTCATACATTAATCTTTATTAGCCTTTTTTGCAA